GCATCTCGCACAAGAACCTCGAGATCGAACTTTCCATCTTTGATTTGCTTTGACGACACTCTAACAGCCAACCACTCAATTCCTTCGTCCGGAAGAGTCATCTTCACCTCCATATTCATCACGACAGTCGGAAACCACATCTCAGAGCGCCGCTGATCTTTTCCCCGGATTTCCTTCACATCAGAATCGTCAGACCGCTCAGGGGGCGCATTCAGAAGCTCACGCAGTGCCGGGGCCGCCAAGAAAGTGTGTATGTTGTATGGGAATGAATCTACCACGTATGCCAATGTGCTTTGAGTGATGGGTTCACCGCTAGTCAGCCGGATCCACATGTCCAGCACCCCGGGGCTTAACGGTTCTTTGCGAGGGATGTAAAACTGCCAATTGGCCAGTGATGGCATCATAGTCGCGTATAGCTTCGGTAGTTCCGACTTTTCCCAAACTTCGTCGGCGCCATTGGTCTTCAAAGCCTCGAAATCAGATACGGATGGGAGTTCAGCAGCTTGCGTTACTTCATAACCTGTGGGCATTGAGATGCCAGGGAATGTGCGTAGATTTGTGTGAGTGGTGTAGGCAAGCACCACCCGTCGTGACACGAATTGATCGACCCATGGCGCTTGAGAAAGGAGGCCAACCTGCCAGAGTGTTAGGTGGAGGGTGGAGATTTGCTGACCAAGCTTGACATCCTCGATTATGAGAATGGCAGACCCAATTGACGCTCGGTTTGGAAACTCGAAATGTGCAGTCAATGTATCGGGCTGGTCACGTGAACCAAGGTGGATCTTCGCTGCTGCGAGCATACATGCAGATGTGTAACCGCCATTGGGAACTAGATTGGTCAAGGTCAGAAGAGTTGCTTAATTATTTGTCCGTCGCAGCGACATGGACAGTGATGCAGAGAGCGAGGACGGCAGAGAAAAGATGGAAGTGACTGATTACCTGTACCGACAGAGAAGGCTTTGCTGAGGTTAACTTGATACGCGTGAGAGCTCAGCTGCTCAATCTTTGTGGCTTCAAAGAAAGAAGGAGGGGCGCTAACGCCTTTGTCCGACGCCATAGCGGGATTCGGCCGAAATGAGTCTTTGAGATTATGAGGTCGAACTAGTTGGAATGGCGAGAAGGGAAAGCTCAGTCAAGGTTGGGATAACGATTTCACGTGCGGTCGGTGTCAATTCTGAGCAAGCTTGGAAAGCAACGGCTTGAGCTATTTATAATGCGCGGTCGGTTTACCCCGGAACGGAGTTCCTCCATGTGATGCGGTGCTCTGCATTTCTATGTTTGCCTTATTCCAAAGGAGCAGGGATGTTGAAACATTGACACAATATTACTACCAAGGTGGTGAAGGTACGGTGACAATCGTCATATTGGATGTTGCATGCGTGATATGATTGGTTGTATTACTCTAGTTTCTGATTGGTCCCCTTATTGGGGCTCTTCGACAGTCGAGTACATCATTAATTGACGAGAATTGGGAGTTACCTGTGGGTGAAATTACCTACGGTGACCAGAATACGGTGGCGCTTGAATGCGTTGCGGAGTAAGTTTGAGTTTTCGCAGAATAAAGTTTCCTTGCATTGCTGACTTATTGATTATATGAAGTCTAGATCATTGAATGAAGTGAGTCGAAGTTTTTGGATGCAAATTTCCCCGCTGATATTTGTACAGTACCATCTACAGCTGTCTGTGAGCTATACCTGAGGATCGGGCTTCTTTGTGTCTATTTTAAGTGATTACGTCGCTGTAGCTTGGGAATCAAATGGATAAAACGCTATGCTGATCATCAGCAGTGACTGTATCAACAGAGGGATTGAAGCTTTGACCGAGAAGGGCAGCAAAATGGTCAATCGACAGTAAAAGTCACAGGCTGCTAGTAATTGACCCATTCCCTTTTTCTGCCGGATGTGGCTGTTGAATCAACAGTGGCATGTAAACACTTATATTATCTTGCTAAAATCGCGGCTCTCGCCTGCGTTAGAACGGTTCCATCAACACTCTCCATCAACACTCTCCATCAACTCTCATAGTGAGAGTCTCAACAAACAGTCTTCCAATATGGCCTTGGGACATACAATTCAGTGGACTTTGAAAACCGACAGAATTGGTTTACTAAGATTTCGGGTCGGCGTTGACTTAACTCTGGGAGTTATCTTGCTCCTCCTCAGATCATAAAGTTATAATGGCAAATGATTTGCCAAAAAGAAGTAAGTTAGTCGCCCTTTCGGCTCAGCCGCCGGGCGTTAATGGATTGTTTGTTTGTTTGTACATGTATGAGATCAAGAAAGTTCCTACCTCAATGGATCATTGTTGAAGGGGTGGAAAATTCGCTCTGCTGGTGAAGGGTAGAGCTTCTCATCAGCACCCAATTTCCCTTACCTCAACAAGGGATCTCCTGTCAACGACCGAATTGTCAAGCAGCCGAATTGTGGTGTAGTGTAGGTGATAGAGTACTAGCTAGCATGCAGATAAATTCTTATCGACATCTTTGCCGTTATTGTGAGATTGTGCAATACTCATGACAGAAATGTAACATCAACGACCGTTGAAGTTCACCAACTCCGTGCCGATCGCTACCAGTACTATTTTATATATGGCTATAAGGAACATGAAATGTATTGATCACTATTAGAAGCTTATATAATCTAGGAGCTCAGTCTGAGAACAGAGTTATTACACGAGTAGAAAGTGGATACAGATATATACAGAGTAGAAGGTAAGATTGATGCAGGAGATGTGGGGCTATACTCCGATACCAGGTCGTTTTGCTGACTGCATTTCAGATACTTAACAACCCTCCTCGCCCAATCTTCTCTTGTCCAATTTATTCGTATATTTTAGTCCTAAGGTCACATACACTGTGTACGAGCTGACCCATACGGCTCACTTTCCTCCTGGGGTCCAATTCTGTACGACTATTCCTCATCTGGCGTATAACTCTGCTTGGAGCAGAGTTATACCCCAAATGTGGAATAGCGTGGTTTTTGTTGCCGGAGAAGCCGGAGAAGCGGAGTCGGAGAAAACCACGCTATTCCACATTTGTGCTCTAACTCTGCTCCAAGCAGACTTATACGCCAGATGAGGAATAGCGTCTGCATCCTCTGCATTTCATTGCAGCTCCCATTCCATCATCTGATGGAAAAGAGCCATGATGAGGGGCCCGTGCGATGTGCTGAGCTGCGGGCGGCTCCTGAGCTGCACAGTCCATCACATGAGAGCTCAGGCGCCCACCTTCTGGTTTCATGCCATCACCTTCACTTTTTTTTTTTTTTTAATAAAAAAGACTTACGTCAGGCCTGGAGGGTTCGCGAATGATATCATAACTCTTTACTGATATATGGAAGAGGGAACAATCCTTGCATCAATATGCCAAACAGCGGTAGCCCCAGACCAGATATCATAACCATCAACCGTCAAGAATCTCGCTTTGTAATTCTCGTAACTGGACCTTCTGCCAGGAATTAGGCGGTCTGGTTACTGCTGGTGACACCTCAGATCTTACATCAAAACATCAAAGCCCTGGTAAATGATCCCGACCCCCCAAATTCGCTTAGTTCACTATTTATATGCATTATGATATACCCAAAGTTAAAGCATGCCGCTTGAAAGAAATCCATTCTGTCTAGACTTCCACTCCAGCCGCCATAAATATCAAAGCAGAAAAGGATCACCCACCTATGCCTACGCCTTTCCTAAATTGGCGTTTCAACATGATAACGAACAAACCCGGGCTTTTAGATATAGATATTGAGAGAGCGGTAAGCTACCTGTCAGTTGGCAGTGTAGTTAGCACAATTTCGGAATAGCTTCAATATTACACTCATTACATCTATTTGATTTAATTGCGAAGCCAGAAGGCACAGTACTCTCAGTTCAACACATGTTTGAATAGCGAGGAAACTCCCTCCATCTGTAGTCTGTGATTATTCCAGATGGGAACTGCCTTTGATTAGGGCAGCATGAGCATATCTCACAAGATGAAGGAATTTCTCTTGATGGACCCGAGACCCTTTTAGATAAAGGGTGTATTTGAAAATGTTCTTTGTTATTCAGAAGCACGGCCAATTTCTCCAGAATCTGATCAGATGCGATTTGATACTAGCTTTGTAAGGATAAAACTCACAATTCAGATGGCAGAAAAAATCCGCGTTAACATGAGGCAAAAGCCCGCTGCTTATTGCTTAATGGAGCTTCTTGCAGCCCCAACGCAATGATCTTGCTGATCTTGCTTGTCTGCCTCCTCTATCTGCCGATTTGTCCCGTCTACGTCAGGACTGCATAAAATTACATGAGGGCAAAGCTTCAGTGGAGGAGATTGTGGACTCAGCGTTGCAGTATCTTTCGCGAGGAACAATACTGAAACTAGCGCTGGTGTTCCGTATATTCAATCACTGGTCACTCGATATCTCGATGGAGCTGATTTAATTCCTCCAACAGCCAGATATGGAGACTGTTGAGCAGCTGAAAACCATTTTTCGAGCTCATTATGCTCAAGATAATGACGAATTCACTATATTTTTTGTACGGTGGGGAATCAAGGAGCGTTGAAATTGTTACTAAAACTGCTGTGCGAACACCCACCAATGCTATCATACTTTTGTTTTCTACTTCCCCCGGCCGAGAATTGGCGAGCCACTTGTACATCAGATTCTATGCCATTAATTACACCAATCAAGTCATTGTAGGTCATCATGTCAGCCCCATGTGAGCATTCAAAACCCAGTCCTGATCAAGAGTCGTAGCTCCAATGAAGCAAAATAGATCTAAGGATACCTGTCTGAATGGTTGCCGCAATTTTTCACGAGCCTTCTCATATTAAAACATCAACAAGAGGCTAAATAAGACCCGTCACCAAGCTCGGTATCACCTGCTATAAAGTACAACCAGCTGCCGCATAACCCTCCAAGCAAATACTCTACAGAAGTTTTTATTCGCTCGTCAGCTTTTAGCTTTCTCAAACTTGTATCGATATATTTATTTAGTCTCGCACCAAAAGCAATATCGGTATGGTACAAGAAGTCCAACTGAGCTATACCCAGGCCCTGCGAGCTTGTTACCTTGATATCCTCTCTCAGCTCGATTCGTCCGTTATCAACAAGATTTACAGCGATGTTGCCCGTCCGCGAAAGGACCCTATTAGTGATATTCTAAGGGCGATCGTATTACTGTCGCCAGATGAAAGGAAAGTTTTTATCACTCACATCTTCCAGAAATGGAAGGTGAAGAAAAGCCCTGTCGACTTTCCCAAAATCGATCCTCTCACCAATCTACTGAACGATTTTTCATATAATGAGCTTCAAGAGCTGTGGCGTCAATGTCTGCCTAAAGCCAAAAAAGCCGAAGGGCTTGCCAAATTAATTCAAATTCTGCCTTCAAGCCGTTTTCACCCCTCCTATTCCCACTTGCGAGTCATTGCAAACAGAGACCAGTTGGAGAACGTGAGGTTCATTTTAGAGATTCGGGAGAAGGAAGAGGATTATGAAAATAGAAGACAAGGTGATACTCCTCATCCCGAATTATATCTCAGCTCTAATTTATCTAGATGATCTAGTCATCTTGCCGGGATTTCGTGCAGCTACGTCTTACTAAGTGGCATCTTGTTAGATGCATTTTTGTTTCGACCCAATGATGGCTACAATTGACGATCACAATATACCTCGCCAATTGCAAATTGCAAACTGATAGGGTTATTTGATGATGAGTCTTGTTGGCGAACTTCGTTATAACTTTTCGATTTTGAAAATTTAATTTGATCTTGGACCAGAGATCTTGAAAGTATCAGCATTGAGGTTTATCTGGTCAGAGAAATTGTAGCTCGAAGAGACGTTCGCCTGCACACAACGAGGTCATTCCGAATGACCTTGTTCTTACACAGACGGTGTCTTTATTGCTTGCAAAGAGCTATAACATGTTTGATCTCATCACGACATTCTCAAATTTGGAGATATATGAACCAGAAAACCCCAGAGAAATTCGGACCAGGCAATTGCATTTATAATATCTCTGTTATAAGGGACACTGGCTTTCTCTTTCCGCTCCACCATGATGGGCTGCTTAAAAATATTTAAGAGCTACTGGCATGAATCGTAAGACGCCCATCTTTCTATCCACTTCTCTAAGCTGACTGAGCAGATCCCATAAAGGGACCTTCGGGAGTTGCTGGTCATTATTGAAGAGTTACTGGTACAAAGTGTGAGGCTCCTATTCTTCTGTCCATTTCTCAAAGCTAATTGAGCAGATCCCTTGAAAAAACCTTTCAAAGGTCCTGGTCGGCCCCGGTCACTCAACCAGACACAGAGTTGGGCCATATTGAGCGTGACAGAACGCGAACTTACTCCCTTGGCAGTCTGAATAGGATACCCAAGTACCCAATCGGTATCTAGCTATGTCTTTATTAGACACCGTCGCTCTAGAGTCTTGTTTAATGGGAGGACTGATCCTTTGGCTTCTTTTACTCTTATGCATTGCGCCTCTAAAGTACTCCTGGAGGGGAATTTGGATGAGATTTAACAGATTGTTTTAAGAGCTAATTTCGGGCATTTAGATATCAATAGGAGTATTATGTTACTGGAAATTCTACTAAGAGTACAAAGATAGGCTATGTTATTACATCCAGACTGTGAAGACCTAATTTACTTGAGGAAGAAAGCATATTGTATTGAGAGATTGAAGCTCAGAATGCTCTTCTCAAGTCAGCTTGAAAACTTTCACAAGAAAGCGCATAGCGCATACCCCCTCGCCGATGCCAGTGGATCCAAGTCAAAATGGATACCGACAGATGTTAATCGTATTTCTTGGATTTAATTTACACTATTAGAGCTCGTTAACTTTCGAACGTAATTACCGGGCTATAAATCGCTAGCCAAGCTATTCATTGTGGATGGAAGAATGGCCTGTTGTCGGCTTATACCGGTGGATTTCCTCATTCCTCTTGGTCTGGATCTTGCTCTGCGATCTGAGAGGCGAAGGGTCTTTTGTCTCTCTGTTACATGTTCTGTAAGTATTAATAGGATGATCTTCCGCCGAAAGGGATCTATCTTATCTATTCTCCGTAAATCTTTGTAGTAATGAAGAATTGTATCTGTATGGGGTGTATCGCTGAACTAAAATAATTCTGGGTTGGTGGATCAGATTATTGAGTATGCTAACATAGCTTTAATATCTTTCTGTGAAAGCTCCTAATAGTAGGTGATGTGTGTAAGTGCGTTGACTTGTTTATCTTTGGGTTTTTTCTTATTATTTGATGTAAACCATAAGAACCAGTCTCGATGCTTATAGAATGTTGTATTATTCCTGTTTGGTTTCGATGGATGCTTTAGTTGACTGTGTAGTGCCTTGTAGAGTGATATGATCTCAGCTAAGTAATAATATTAAAAATCTCCTGACTTATACTGGAGACTATTTTGACTCGATATGTGAGAAGCAGAAATTGTGAGAAGTGGGCGGGGGTATCTCCTCTCTATCCTGCGGAAACGGCGCTTTACCCTTTGGATACAAGCCGTGCGCTCAGCCTTTACGCTAATGCACGGGCAGGGATGGGACATGTTTGCCCGGGCAAACATGTCCCATCCTTGTTTAAGCCCCAATTCGACTAAATCACTACTTTAAGGTTTACTTTCTCTTCCCAACACCTGATCATACCAGCCAAATACACGCTCCAAAGTATTGTGGCAAACGTACAGCTTGCCTGTCAGTTAACCAGCCATCAACGCGCATTGCGCCATTCGGCTGGGTCTGGATTGAAAGTGACTCAAGGGACATGAATCTAAGCCCCTTTCGGTCACTGCTGTATCCGCTAGTCCAATGAGCCGCAGGCGCGCTGGTACTATTGTCTCTGCGGATAGCTATTCTTGGTATTAGCGTACGCTTTAACGGAGACTTCTGTGACATTTACCTCGCAAGTCAATCTTTATTGGTCGTACTACCTATATATGTAAGCTTTTTTATGATCTAGACCCCGAAGCCCCAGAGATCCTACATTACAGCATTAGGTACATTTTCAATCTTATCTAATACTATAGACCTCTTACGATAGAAACCTATAAATAATCGCTTCAGACTTAGTTTCTAGCCTCATCATCTTATACATCTGCAAAAATGAGCTCCCCAGAAAGCCAGACCCATGCTGCTGTTTCACTGTCAAATGACCTGAGCCCAGCGAGAAAAGCTCAACAAATCTTCAAAATCCTGTTGGACGATATCAATCAAAACAAGTTGGCGGATGCCAATTATGCAACTGAGTATATGGGGCGCACAGATACTGAGCTTCGAGCGTGTATGGAAATTGCTAAGCAATTTCACAATGCGGTTGATGCTTTACTCAATGTGAAGCTTTTTATGCATCTTCAAAAATCCGAACTTAAGGAGGAGTTTTGGGATCAGCAATTTCTATCCATTCAGGAAAGATATAAGCCTTTCCCAATGACCGCAAGAGTTTTTCTTACGGATGGCGTGATGAACTATACTGGTAAGAGAACCTGGCTAGGGATTATCTACAGATTGCCCACGTGCTAATTAAATGCTATCTAGGACTCTGCGGACAAGGCACACCGAAGTAACCTTGAAAGAGACCCTGAAAATACGCCGTCTACAGTGTTCTTGTGGTATAAGACTACTTTATGTCATAGAGTGGAATCTGTTCCGAGTCAGTGTTTGTGGGGATAGGATGTCGACAAAGTTTTATATTACCATCTATTCGATTCTATTTTGGCTTATTGTTCCATCTTGTCTAGTACTAGATAAATTAATAGGTCTATATCAAGTCACATCCTCAATCTTTCTTTATTAAAATATACTTGCAAGACAATATCTCTTCAATTCAACAATACTTCGCCTCTGATCTAGATGAACAGTGTTTAGCCGAGGAGTTCCCCAGCGGTAAATATAGACCTCAAGAGCAGTATCGATCCCCCATCGATTATTAACTACAAAGACAGAATATCAAAGCTTGCCTTGGGGATAAAAAACATTAGCCCATTATGAATCTGTTCCAGTGGTGAACGGCAAATCAGCTCCATTCGAGTTCAGTCAGTGGCCACTAAAAAGCCGAACTAGATTGTCAAGGTCGTATTTGAGCTTTCAGAATGCGCTGCCACCAATTGAGTCAGTCTCCTAGACTCTTTTTGCATGACGTGTTCTCTTTGTTCTTTGGTACTCCACTTGCAAGAAAGTCGATGTCGAATCGGGGAGAGAACTTGGCAGTAGTAGAAGAGTGTCTTTCGGGCTTTCTCAAATCCGTAACCCGACCACATATCCGCATTGATCTATTGCTAATTGCTACATTGCCGCTTGTCACAGGCTTCCTATTCCTTCTCTCAAACCTGCGTGTTTGCGCATTGCCTGTAGAGCTACTAGTATGTACCATACATATCTGCGTGGAGACTTTAAGCCTTTTCCACTGGTTGGTGTTTAAAACGCCACGGGGCCATGGGTCGAGATTGCCCTACCGTACGAATGCCAACTCAACTTACCGGTCAGCGAGCAAGTCTTGCTGGCTTGGGTGATATCGTTCAACAACAGCGATCAACCGTTGAAGGCACAAGAGAAGTATCTCCCTGTTCACCATTGGGTTTGGTCTCGTACGTGATAAATTCGCAGTAGTCATGACCATGAGCTATAGATGGAAATCTAGCGAACACTCTTCCCAGAGTTCAAGGAGAAGATGCAATGTGATACTCAAACGTGTCACCTTCCTGATCAATGACATCGCGAGCCAGGTCCATCTCATGCAAGCCTGCTACTAATTTTGGGATTGTCACCTTATGGGGAGCCTTGAACTCCACTGCATAAGCAGGTTTTCTTCGCTCGTCAGCCACGGTATGTACACAAAACTGATCAGCACGGCGATTGCGCTTCCTTGGTGTGCGAGGCCTCCTTGAGGTCTGTGCGGCTCTTCTGCCGTTCCTGGTATTCGCTATTCGTTGGGGCGGCCGGGTGTCCTGAAGAGTCATTTGCTCCATACTCTTCTCCAACGGGGTTTCCGCGCGGTCATAGAATGTGACTCGGCCCTGGATGCCAAACTCATGTCGAAGAGTTTCATCGTCGCGTAGCGCCTCAATGACTTTTTCGACAAAGTTATCCACCGTTTCTCGCTCGAAATTTCGCAGGGATGCTTCCGAATAAATTGGCCGGTCCTGGACGTTTGTGGCGACATAATCTAATTGTTCATCAGATGGGAAGAGTGATTGTGAAGTAAAGGCGCTCATGCGGTCGAATTTCTTCCATATTTTTTCTTGGAGTTGGGGAAATTCACGCCAAGGCATGATGCGTTTGGGGTAAAGTCGGTTGACTGGGTCGGTCGCATCGCCTTGAGTCGTGAGAGTCGCGTCGGTCTCAACTCGGATCGCTTGAGACAGAGAGATGTGGCAGCGATCGAGAAGACGAAATAGAGAGTTCAGTTGCAATCGCCGTTCTGCCTCCCTTTGCTGCTGTTCTGCCTCTTCTCGCGCTGTCTTCTCTTCCTCTTGTCGCCGCTCTGCCTCTTCTCGTGCCCGTCTTTCCTCTTCTCGCCCTATCTTCTCTTCCTCAAGCTGACGTCGTAACTCGGCGATTGTTTCTTCCATCTTTGTTAGCAGCGGTTTTCAGCAAATGGTTGAATGATGTGGAAGCAAAGCCAACATAGCAGGGGGTTCCCGCTGTTTGACATTCATAGAACCTGAGGGGGGGAAACTCGCGTTGATGTTTACCAGTTATCCCGTGACTCCAGTTTTTGGTGCCTCAGGCATCAGCGCTTTGACGGAATGTTCAGAACCGATCTTTACCATCATCCAGCCGCCCGCCCGCCCGCTGTACATATTTTCCTTTGTGGTCTTACTGAGAACGTACACGAACCATAAAGTCAGCAAGAGGTCTTGAGTATAGTTAGGATAGGCTTATCCTCCATATGTTCTACGAATCACTTCTTCTTGCCTCAACCTTTGAAGATGGAATTCCCTTTCGTCAAATTGTCAACAGACCCAATGGAAAGCGGAGAGACGTACCTGGCCTCCCTGGTTGGGGTTCTCTGTTCGAATGTACCCTCTGAGCGGACAACTGAATTGTCGCTGATATATTTTGCAAAAATCTTCTCCTGGATGATAACTGGAGGCGGACACGTTCTTTATAGGCGCAGGGCCTGGTTAACGTTTGGCATTCCTACATAGGTCATCAGTTTTGAGCAGGTATTGATGGAAATGATGATCAACCCTCCGGTAGCACCACAGTAACGCTTCCATTAATTAAAGAGCTTCTGGTAGAAATAAATTGGTTGATAGCAGCTGTGTTGAAAGCCTCATATTCTTGCATTCATACATTTCCACCAATCTACCGGGGGAATATTTATTAAAATTTCTTCTGGCAATGTCTCTCATTCCCTACACTTAAATCACATCAATATCAAAGATCGTTTTACTTATACTGGATTGTCTGTATCATCGTTCGATGTGCCTGCTGATTTAAAATGGCCTATTTTCGAACCGGCCGTTTTCTGGTGGACGTTCTTTAATGACGGACTTGAATTCCCTAGATGCAGATTTTGTGGGACTGACGGTAATAGACATGCAATTTTTAAGGCCTCTCATTAATGAGGGCATTGGGCTCAGTTGATACAGTCGTTCTATTTCCATCGAGCCCCACTATGCCCAACCAATCGCTTGCGGTACCCTCAAAATACTTGGCCATCATTATTATCGCTCGCTACACTAGGTGGAGCCAACTCCGTGGGAATTCCAACCAATCCTGGGGGTCTACGGCTGCCCCTAGGAACTTTACCTGTAAATCTAGGAGTAACAAGGCTCTTGGGACCTACTGATACATTCCTGGACTCGCTGTGAGGATCTCACGTATCGTTGGATGAGGAGTGTGTCTTCCGAATGAATAATCAATATTAAGAAAGCTATAGTCGACTCTAGATACAAGACGTAGCGCGAGGAAGCAAAAGAAAGGTAGCTTCCTCGCGTTCAGGGGAACCCATATACACCATGTGGGTCCCGCGCAGATCATTTCTCCATGCTGTATATCTCTGACACTCGCTTCAGCCGGTCCTGGGAATCTGTAGCAGACCTCTAGGAGCAGAATAAGCTCCCAGGAACAGTAAAACCCCCATCAATGAACTTAGAGGTGGTTGCAACAGTGTCAGGGATTGACAGAAGGTATTACACGATAAGCGCAGGAGAAGGCACAACATGGCGCTTCTGGATTCCCTAAACGCGGAGAAGCTATCTTTTACTTCCTCGCGCTAAGTCTTGTATCAAGAGTCGGCCATAGCTTTCTCGATATTGATGATGCATTTGAAAGACACATTCCTCGTATAAAGACACGTTAGACCCACACACGCCGTATTTAACTGCCGTAATCGCCCGAGCCCCACTGTTTACCACCCAGTCCTCACAATAGGAAGCGGCGGAGCAATTCTCACTCGGGGACATTCTATTTGATCCCAGAGAACCTACGGCTGTCTTCAGGAACTGCATATGTGATTCCAGGAGCAATAAAGCTCCCGGGAACAAGTATTACTGTTCCCACAGACTCTTCCTTCAATCCCAGAGACGATTCACAAGGCCCTGGGAACTGTGCTGCTCCTATAGCCTCATGTTCCGCTCCTGGGGCAGGCAAAGGGACGTGGGTTGTCCAGCAGCTACCTGTGGAGGGCAGAAATTCGAGGCCGACTGGTCACGATGGTTTCCCTAGCTTGGGCCGGAGTGCCCCCACAGTCACCTAGCCGTCCATTAAGAGCCACGAGAACTTTTCTAGACCAAATATAGACCTGTGTAGCCCACAGCGGGAGGGCATGGGAGAAATGAGCCATGCCGTCCGAGAGTCATATTGGGAGACTCATAGAAATAAGAGCCATTTCTTGTGTAAAATCCGGAATTGTGCAGAGCGTACCGTGAGCGAAATCGTGAGAACGTGTTAATAAAAGCTTGTTCTTGGGTAGATTATCTTAAAAGATATGGCTTGGAAGCTCGAGAACAGGATTCTTCTTTTGAGAGGGTCTGGCTTTTAGAAAAATCCTCTGGGGACGAAGTTAGTCACAGAATGAAGAGCACAGGCGGCATAGAAGGCCATACGTCATAAGGGTTGGCTTTCAGTGCTCTGTCTCCTAGTCCAAGCATTCCAGGCCTAGGCCTACGGCTTGCAGGGGATTGCCGATGGGTTCTTTGATTTCACTGGCTTAAGCCGTGCTGAGTGAGTGGATCCCCCGCATTTTCCCGTTGATTCTGCTTCCCCTCCCGCTTGAGTCATATTTCGGCGCTCAGAGCAAAAGAGTCACTTAAGCCTAATAAATCAAGCACCAAGGTTGAGGGATAAAAAAATTTCGAGTATCAATTTGGGGAGGGTCACGAACTATTGGCAAACGCACGTGATCTTTAGAATACATTGATTGATGGTTTCAAACCTACACCTATTGCGAGGCCGTTTAATCAACGCGCAACAGTACCTGTGATGGACACTTGATGAAAACTTCTTTGTAGTATCAACACACCTGCTGTTTTACCACGTTCAACATATAATTGATGGGGGACTCTTGCTTAACCGACAAATTAAAATGGGAATAAAAAAAATGAAGAATAAGAGGAACACTATCGTTGAGTGATGATCAACGGTATTTATGACTGAAATATGTCAAATGAGGGCCTAACAAATAAAGTCCTCACAAAGAAGGGGGTCGAATGAGGTAGTTTCTATTCTAATGAGCAAGTTGAAGCAATCGATTAGTGCAGTACGGAGTATATTCTCTCAGATAACTTCCACCGTCCTTGCTTCCCCTGCCGCTCGAATCACGGGCCGGTCCAGCTACGGCCCCACTCGCCTTGCGGTTGCTCAACAACGGAACTTCACCGCACAAGAACGAAGAACGATCACTCACCAGCAGTGTTGAATCAACAACGTACATAGTCCCTTCAAGCGCACGTAACTGCCTCAGGATCTACATGGTTCGTGTCTTTGGATCAGGTAGGTATATGTTCGACCGTAAAGCAGAATTTGATTGATTTAGACGGTCGATACACTTCTGGCTTGTTCGATCGATCATCGGTTGTGTAACTTGTGTCTATGCATAGTTGAACGCTCTGGAAAAATTTTTTGGTAGATTCAAGTGATGATCAACGGGAAACAGTGCAATCGAATGGATTCAGTCAAATTGACATTGATTGGCTATTTAACAAGCCATTCTCCACCAAGCGAGCGGGCCCGTGCATTTCCCAATACCTCCGGACCCCCCAGGTCTTTTGACTCATTTAAACCTGCGTGTCATGACCACCCCCGGCCCATTCCGAGTCCGGGCTTGCCCGAGATTGACTTAGCTCTTGGAGAACTTAGCTTGCCTTCGTACTCTGACTGTGGCTTTCATCTCAAACACAATTTGAGTAATGATAGTAACTTACTTCGAATATAATTATGTCATTAGAATAAGATAATATAAACCCCCAAAATTGACCATAGTATTGTTGATGAATTCGTTCTTATGGTAAAGCATGTATATCTAGCCGCCGATGCAAGATTTGATTGGCTCACTTACTGTTACGGTTTGCTCCACTTTGGAGTGCCATTCCCTCGATTCTCCATTATAATCGGGACTCTCACTCATATAAGTGAAAGGATTGACGCAGGCATTAGGTCAAGTATTCCTTGTACTGACAAGATAACCCAGCTATGACAAAAGCCAACAAAATGAGCTAAGTGAGCTAGCACAGCTTTGAAGCATATTTATACTTGAGGTACTATCGGTTTCGGATAAGAAAGGAATCCAGTGGTGAGTGCAAAAGGGAAGAAGCCCAAATGGAAAGGAGATAGCGGAGCCTACAGAACGAGAATTGCAAGGCAGCAGGCACTGGTTGTTGGACCGCGTCCACTTTGGCATTGATCTGGATAATCACTCTTCCTAAGCATGCTGGGGCCGCTCGTTTACGACGCGTAGATGACTGTCGGCGGGCAAGTTGTTCATGGCTGAAGGTTCCTCTGGCGAATGAATGCTAACGGTGTTTTGGGGAGCGATTCTTGAGGCGATTCAGATGCAGTCTATCAGTCGACGACATTGCTAGGCGTCATATCTGGGATCTACGCAATAGATCTGGGAATAAGGTTACTCGTTCCTGGGGATCTTTTCGGTACTTGTCAGAGATCGAGCATATATTAGCTTGGATCTTTGGTCAGCGACCAAACACCCAAGCTACTATTCAAAGGTTGGTTCCTCCTCGAATTAAATGAGCCTTCGGATTTCAAAAGGGAAAATCTTGGGGCTTTTGACTCACATTTGCAATGATTTTGGCATCTTCTGATGATATTTGAATTAGACTGTTGACGGATACAGGATCTCCAAGAAGGTCATCGATCCAGCAATCAACTGCACTCGCATCCCAAACGTGTATAGAGGTTCCCAGATGTGGATTGTCATTGAGAAGAGCCCGCAGCTTCCTCTCTATAGCATTTTCTGACCGGTCAAATCCCCGTCGTAGAAGCAAGCAACGGAGCGATCTCATGCTGACATATCGGGAGCAGAAATACACTGCAATTATCGTTTCTGCATCTGACCATCTTGCACTGCCTGTCATTGCATATGCATAGTGTTCAATGTGGAGTACGTGCAGGGGCGATTGCGAACTATTACCCCTCTGGAATAGGAGAGAGGAAAAAGGAGCGGAAGAAGCTCCATCGAGCATCGAGAAGATACAGTGGGTCCATGGTCCGTAACTGACCCAATCATGCCCCGCGAGATCTGGGGGTATTTCGATTGATTGATTGATTGATTGACTGTCTATCTGATTGGCTCCACGCGGCTATCCTTTGCTCCACTTTGGAGTGCCGTCAATAAGTATTAATTCGCTCAACTCCTCGCAGCTCAAAGCCTGGGGTATGGCCGAATCTCCTGCCGAGGCTCATGGTATTCTCTATTCTTGCCCTCATCTCTCATTGAGTTCTAAATTCCTCAGGCGCCAAAACCATCCATCGGTAAGGAGTGAAATGATGGACGTCTAAGTCGATGATACACTTAAACACCTACACACAGAGGCCGGGAACAATGTCACAAGTAAGTTTGCTTAGGTTTGGGTGCAGTCTTAATGCAGTTCCAAAATGGCTCTCTATGCATTAGAAGGGGAGGGTCTGCCAACTGAATAGTTTAACGGCACTAGCCACCCGGCCTTGCATCTCCAAAAAGCTTTGTATCTTGAGGTTCTTCATCTTCACTTACGTCCGAGATCGCTGAACCTACAGTAGCATTGAGATTGGCTCAGATTTGCTGCGAGAAGTCTGGTTTCACATTTTTTTAACGGCAGTGTTCTCATATTCTCCTGTTCGTAACCTATACAATACAACATGCATATCTGTGGTCCGAGGGTGAGAGGTACTAGCGGCTTTGACAATATATTTTCAAGAAGCTTTCTTTATCCAGGTCACCGTTGAACAGAACGCTGTTGTCTCTCACAGAGCCACCGCTAATCACATGGACCCGACGTCCATTATGACTCTGCCCACCCCCGCTGCTTCCGTTGAAGACATGTGAACTCTCGTCAATTTCAGTCCCGAAGACTCCGTGTGCTGACTCTTTAGTTGAATTAGATCTCTTGGCCGCTAGAGCAACAGTATTGGAACTCATGGCCCTACCCTCTTGAGTTCTCTCTTTGTCGGAAGGAGAAGCGTGAGCTGAGGAATCAGCCTATCAAAAAGAGCAGCCAGCGGTTAGCTAAAAGAAAATAGGCGAGGGCTTCTACGCCCCGTTGCAACTTGCCTGTTCTGGTTGGCAGAGTATCAAAATTGTTGGTTGTGATGAGGCACGGTGTTGGCATGGAAAGCTCTTCTCATTCTTGTTCCTATCCATGACGAGTGAGAGAAAATAAGAGTGGAGATGTTATGTTAATCGAGAAAAATTTGGGCCAGGAAGGGCTGCACTATTTATAACTCTGGGCTTGAGGTAATAGGGGCCTTCATGATCGCTTAAAGTTTGAGAAGAGTAGGACAGTTAACCCAATCATGACCGTAGATCCATATGACCCAGCCAGCAACAGAGTCAGTGGTGACCCACCCAGAAGTATCGCCATTGTCTTTCTTGATACTGATTTGTGACAGCCTTCTTAACCCCATAAGATAGAGTCAATTCCAATAATTTTGCGAAGATGAGGATCAGGAAGCAGACACATGGGGTTTTATAGGATATCTTTGCATTTACCGTCCACAACTAATTTTGAAATCCAGGAACCAGGTCGCGGGAACCAAAGTCTACCGGATCACGTGATACGAAACACCTTGCGGCGGGGAGTCCCGACAATTCGTTCCAGTCACGTGACTAAACGGAGCGGGGTAAGGAAGCAGATGCCCGCATTTCTGAATCAGCAATATCGTATACCTACACGCTGCACAGTGATCAGCTGGGGCAATATTGATTAGCCTTACTCAGCTTCATATTTGAGGTAAGACTTGAGGCTCACATCATGATCATACTATTGCAATCTGCTCACTCATCGTGATTACAATAGACCTAGCTCCTGCAAGCCGTCGCCTTCCGGGCTGCACTTGCAGTGCTCGATAGCCTGCGTACATTGGATATCAGTACCTTCTAACTCGGCGATACAAGACTACGTGACAAGAAGTTTTTGTTGTTCCAAATGAGCGAAGCGCGGTGCGATGAAGTTCTTCGGGTAGAACTAGACCCTATCGAACATAAAGTTGTGCAGGAATTGCAGAAGTGGGTGGAAGAGACCAATGTGAAATGGAAACCGTCTCCTCAGTATACTCTCGTAGAGCAATGTTCCGACGAGAAATTATGGACAATTATACCTCAACTTACGCGAGTCCGTTATTTACTGTCCCACCCAAGACCCAAGGTAGACGCCGCTAATGATCCCAGGATTCCCAAGTTGCTGTGTTCAAGACGTCTCATTCGCGGTGGGGTCTCAGAAAAGGCGAGCTTATACCTTTCATCCCCGTTGAAGGCTGCTTCCTTAGGGATGGAGAACAATGCTACCCCTTGATCTACGGAACAAAGTTATGTCTTTCGAAATATGTCAGCGTGGAGGTTCCCGCGGGGCAAACTCTGTATTTGGTGTGGAGACTCAAGGTGAATAATTAAATACAAAACGCCCTGTTAGCGGCGATGAAATTGGGGCTCTTAAATCAAGGACAGTTAAGATCCGAGGGAAAGCCTACCGTCGGGTCAGCGAAATCGAGATATGTCATTTCGAGGTCATGGTTGAAAGAATCGAGGTAAATCATATCGAACTCTGGCTCAACAATTGCCTCTGTCTCGATGGTCTCGGGGCATGTATTGTCAGTCGAGGCAGAAGGAGCGCAAGTTCCTGCCCAGCGTTGCTCCGGACTAAGTTCCAGGGCATGTAAAGATGATATAGGTCTTGCGCCGATGACGTCTGCTGGAAATCGGATCCTCTCGCCGTACTCCTCCACTGGCTGGGGGTTGGCACAATGTCTAGCCATACTTTTCGTAGCTTGAGCACCTTTTAGTTGTCTCTTAGTCCCCCTTTTCGGCCCAGATTGTTCGTTTGGAGGAGGCAGGGTAGTCATTGGACTGTACAGAAAATCGGAATGGAAGCCGAGAAGGGTCTTTGCTACACTATTTGCGTTCGTTTGCTCTGATTGCTCCGTGATTTTCTTTTTTTTTAGGTGCTCAATTGCTTTATCAAGGTCATCTCCAAAAAGACCACCATCATCCCAACTGGCCATGTTAGCCTTGAACAATGTTGTATCTAACGCCGAATACTTACATGGCGTCGGGAATTGAGATAAAGAATAGCGGACCGAAGATGGTATCCTCTTTGGTGAGCTTTTTGCAAAATTGAGTGAGCCTTTGACCTCTTCGTATAATATCCTTGCAAGCATTGACATTTGAATCAGGCAACCGTGCGTGATTAAGGAAGGAATCCAATTGTTTCTCCAAGATACGATAGTGGGAAGAAGTTGGGAATTCTCGGCGAAAGAGGTTATAGGCTGAAACGGCAGTAAATCTCTGAAGGATGCGTTGTTCTTCCATATTGGAATCTAATTGCGCTGCTCCTTGCAGAAATGTCCGTGACCTAGCCTTTTGCTCTTGTCCGCTATATTTGGGTAGCTCAACGATAAGTCTTTCCCAGAACTCCAAGGGATCAGTTCGAAAAGAAGAAAAGCGGCTTTGAAGTTGGTGGGGAACTGTCAAATCATTGATTTTCTCAATCCGAGCACGATTTGCTTGGGAGGTTTTAGTCGAGGTTCCGAACAAGCTTCGAAGGGGGATATAGAGTTGCCGAAGAAATTCAGAAGTCTGCCCTTCATCTACCGCTCCGAACGGCCGATCTTCAGGAAGACTCTGTAGCCAAAGGATAACATCCCCATTAGTTAACGGCTTGGACATTATCGTTATGTGCCCTGGATGTGAGGTCTTGCGCAGAGAGTTGTTTGAAAGAAGGGAAATTACAATATTCTGAATGAAGAAGTTGAGTGGTTGCTACAAGCTAAATTGAGATTGATTGATTTCTCGGGAGGTGCGCACCTCCCGAGAAATCATTTTCGGTTTAGCTCAAGGTTTCGAAGTCCCGTGCCCTGCTCTATTCAGCAGTTTCGAGAGCTGTCCATTTGTTCAAGGTGGCCAGCAATCAGACGTAACTATCTTTGCAGTGTGAAGTCATCAATTCGAAAATCTTTAGCATCTGCACGGAATAGATATTACGTTCCCGGGTTGAGGGCTGCGACAATGTTCTGAACACTATCGTCACCCTTTGTAACTATTCATCTACATTGGCATGGCTTTATCGAGGATTGGGGGTCTGAAGATCCTGTACTATAATGCAAACATCTATAGTTATCGTTGCAAACCAATTCCTGTAACGCATCAAGAGGTTACATGTAAATATTGACCTTCACCCAATGGGTGATTCAATTAGACAATGCTAACCTACGATACTTCATTCAGAAGACAATATAGACGGTGAATTTGACTTGAAGAGGGACGTTGACTTTATCGAATTCGCAGTGACCAGGGCTCGCATTCTCCAAGATTACATGAAAACAGCCGGAACAAGCTCATCCTCAGTGCCCTTCTCCGTCCTCGGTCTTTTTGATCGCCAAGACTATTACTTGTCCCTTGACCGTGAAAAATATGCGGAGTCGAAACCAGTCTTTATTTTCTGTGGTTTGATGTATGATGCCTTTACCGTCATTAGCAAGAAAGACGAGCAAATCTAGTCAGGAACTAGGCATTGTTTTGGAAATTGCTTCACAGGTAGTGAAAGCGCTAGTCTTTGGTATTGCAAAGTGAGTTTGACTCATTCTGAAATCAATTCTCGGATTAGGAGATTGACATCAGTTAAGTGCCGGCAAGACGGCTCAGCTCGAATATCTCCGACCGAAGTTTGAGGATCCGAGCAAGACTTTCTCTCTAATCGAGTCAAATTTGCACGGCTGACAAGATTATTGAGCTGAAGACGGATTTTCATTTGAATTACTTAAGTGGCACTCTAAGGACACTTAGGAATATTTGCGAGTAATAGATCCACAAGTGTGCTTTAAAGCAGGCGCCAAATTCTGGTCCAACAATCAAAGCGTTTTCAATGACCTTTTTCCCCTTCCCTTTGTCCAAGATTGCTGTAGAACTACTCAAGTGGAGATTAGTCAGGCCTGTGATATACCATAATTCCTCATCGGAGCACTGCTCTACGATCAAACTGAGGAGACGGCCTCCATTCAATGCCAGGCTTTTCAGCCACGTATGTAATTCCTGGGCCACTTTGTGCGAGTCAAGCTCTAACTGAAGAGCCTTGACGCTGATGTCATGTAAATAGATTTATCAAATGCAGCGTGTCAGTGGGTCAGCATGCGCAAGGGATATTCACGTAGCGAGGGAGATTGAGTCAAGCACACTGTTAGACAAGCCAGGGCCAGTAAATATGGTGACACGGGAAACTTGGAAACTTCGCCTAAGCACATAAAGTCGGACTTGATCCCAAATTTGCAGCTTTCTGTCAAAACTTATCGTGATTCTATAAAAAGTAGCCTGACAAGATGAAACGCTCTTTTCCTTGCGTGCCTTCGGAGCTTGACTCCTCTGTCCCGACGCGCTTCTCTTTTCCTCAATTGCTCCTCGTCATCTGCTATGCTCTGATTCGCTCGACTTTGCCCCGCCAATCTGGGGAATATCGGCAGATTCAAGATATTCTTCGTCGCGGTGACACCGAATGGGAGCCGCGCGTTGGCTCTGAGGGCGGCCTAGAACTGCAAGAACAAGACTGGCATCGAACGAAGCCGGAGACCCGTCGAATCTGGCACAAAATTCACGAACAGCTAGCCCAGCAGGAGTCCAGTTTTAGTAAAGTGTCTACTGAGCACCTGCGCAGTGAACTTCTTCATCGAATTGAGCAGATTTCTGCACAGTGCCTGAATATTCTCGATCGACCACCGCCACGTTTACACTCGCCGGACATTCTTCTTGGTGGCAAAGCAAGACTCATCCTTCTTGGGTTTAGTCTTGCGGTGACACCATTTATCTGTGGCATTGAATCCTTTGCGTCTAAACTATGGGATCCAGATCAGGACACCCTTGGGGTGATGCTCTCTCAATTGAACGAATCGCCTCTATTTCCAAATATCCTCTCTGGTCGTGATTTGGTAGCCGCTCTTAATTCTTTGGAATTGATTTTTTCCAACGAGCAAGCAATGTCATTCACGAAGATTGAGGTGGTCAGATATGAGACAATTGAATGGAGTCATGGGATGTTCGAGGTTGAGGACGGTTTTCAGACCACACGGACAGATGATTTTCAAATGAGATGGCGCAGAGAAACTTTGAGCAGTAGACGCTCGGCTTATTCAAGGCGTCGGAAGCACGGCTCACCAGAGCCAAAGAGGGTTAAGCATCATTAAGGTTGTAAGTGACTGTTACAGGATCTTCGCACGAAGCCCTATATACAGATGCTCAGCCCAAGGCCTCGCTTGATATTCTGCCACCGCCTTCCTTTCTACTGAATATCTACCCTACCCCTTTTCATGTTTCTTTAACGAATCGTTCTTGTACATAGGCCACACCATTAATTGATATAATTTGGTCTGATCCCTAACAGTAACGACGGTGTTTAGTTCGAAGTTGAAGTTCAACAATGCAATCTTTCTGTGAACATCTTTCTGTAACACCCTATGTCTGAAAGCAGAAACTTGATTTGCGGCACCCTTGCTGAAGGAAGAAACTGAGACTACACAACCTACAAGGCCAACCAACTGTATCTCAAGATGCCGAGAAACCATTGCTGGCCCATTTTTGAGCTCCGATTTCCACTATCATCCTCGGAACATCCTCCCACCCATTTGCGCTCGCTGAAAATGGGTAACCATGGCTGACCGAAACTGCAACCCTTATCGAGAACGCCCTTCACAAGCAGTCAATATTGAGGGGGAACAGGGAGCCTAACAGAAGCTGAGAGCGTTTTGCTTACACGTATGGGGGTAGAGATCTTGATCTACCGAGCATTTTCCTTGGCTGTCGTGTCAGAGACAGAGTTGCTTGCAACCAGCAGGCACTTACTCGTTTGCGACCACAATCTTAAGGATACCGATTCGGTTGTCCTTTTGGACTTCCTGACCGACTAACGGGGTTTGAAGCACGCTAGGAATCATGCCCTCTCGAGGAACGATCTGTCCGTTGTGAAGCGCACAAGGAGTAGTCGCAGCGTGACTAAAATCTATAAGGATAGAGTCCACCAGAGCCTTCAATACCAGCAGTCTCGGACACTTACAGTGAACCACCTCCGGAGGAATATGTCTTCCATTCAACGGCAAAATCAAATGTCAAGTCAAATACAACACCCGATGACTTTGGGTCCACGCCAATAATCTGAGTGGCTGCATCCTGTGCTGCATACTGTGAGCCATATGACGTCACTTCTATAGAGGACCGTTGTCAACTTCGATGAGCTTCCCCGACAAGAGCAGCAGGAAACTAACCGATGTTGGGCCAGATGTTGGGCCCTTGCTGGTGACCGTGGAAAACTTCAAGGATCTTTGAAAGGGTTTTTTGGTGAATTGGTGAGCTTCGGAGGCGCCAGATCTTTTGCGCCTCCTCATTCAAAGCATTCTGAGTCAAAGACTCGAGCAGTTTTCCACGTATCAAGTGCTGCAAAAGACTCACTTGATCTTCTTGACATTAATACGGTTCTCATTGATACAGAAGTGAACTCACCTTGCTTCAACATCCGCTGTGGCTTCATTAGAGTGAGATCTTCTGGAAACCATGGGGATTTTTGACCGGAATAATCGACCTTGGGTTCAAGCAGTTTTATCCATAGATCTGCCAGTTCTCCACAGATGTCCACTGGGAATTTTGCGAAGAGTTCTGCATAATCCATCTTAATACCAACTGCCAACTTTCTTTGGCTGCAGCTGTAATATCATCTGTTACTCGAGGGGTCCCTCGGTATTTATAAAGCTACAATTCAGTGGGGGGATAATGCTGAGCTCCAGGTTATGGAGCTATTTGTGTAAATCATTTTTATGCTTGTGCAAGGGGGGGCAATCTCATATTTCCTGATTAGGATTAGTGTTGCTCTCACCAAGATTCAGAGATGCGCTAACTGCCCGCATAAATGGCTTTAGGTATTTATACTCCTAGAATTAGACGAGGAATGCCATCTGCATTTTCAAAAGCCGGTGCAATGGATAGTGTACCTCATATTTACTAAGCCACTTCTATTGGCAGGCTCAGTTGATGGTTTCCGGATAGAATGCTATTGGTGATCAATACGGATCTGCAGCTTTCGTTGCGGCGCCTCAGTACCCGGGCTGCTCCCTGCCCGCCAGAACAAGGCTCTTTCTTGTATACAGTGCACATTTCTGATATCCGATTCACACTGAAGTCATTTTACCCCCTATCCCTCAACCATCTTTCAAGACGTGGAAATACGAGTAAACTAGTATTCGTTACCTCCGAGAGTTTATTCATTCAGATGATCGCAAAATCTCATTCCCGAAACTTCGACGCACACGATTACTATTGCAGGCCAATTTTGCTCATGTCTGAAATTCAGATCCATGCCAATTGTTGCGCAAAAAAGGGAGATTAATGAAAGTACAGGGAAATCTCAATTTCAAACTGCGGTGTTGATGACCGGGTCTAAGTCTGCGCCAATGCCAGAAATCGATCACGGGTCAATGCGCGTAGGTGTTAAACTTTACATCGATTCACCGCTGTAATTTTCAAGGGAAATACATTTCCGGCTGTCAATTCGATTGAACCAAACTGTTGCCGATATTAGCTTGTTACATTCTCTTCTGATCAGTTCGAAATGTACAACAGTGGACCCGGAACTATGAGGAGAATCAGTCGCCCCTGATTGCTAGATCAGAAATAGATTCTTGCCTTAAGGTCGAATTGTGAATTGATTGGCCTGTCAACTGGCTCTAGAGCGGCTAAAGTCTATTTATGAATCTTGGGGACGAATTCGTCTAGTATTTCAGGTTTCTAGGCTCGAAGCGAAAGGACAGAAGATCCCCCGGCTTAGGCGCACATTGGTGATTCGGGGCTCATCAGTATACCTACAAAAGGCTCAAAACCTTTCGGGCTGGGTGGCTTCTTCTGCTAGGTTGTTCCACCACGAAAGCACAGAGTCTTAAACGAAGAAGACGGCTGGACACTACAATGCAAACAAGCGATACGCCCTCTTACGCTTCGAAGCAGCCAGACCAACAGCCAGGGCAGACAGGCAGTCAGAATGTCTCCGTCAACTCCCCCGATAGTGAGCAATCACCCCTTCCTGTAGTCAAGTCTGGTCCGCAGTCTCGTAGCGATAGCAACGGCAATGGTGGTAGAGCAGACCATACCATTTATCCCAAGGAATTACATTTGGGCTGACCGATTAAGATATCTTCATACCTTATTACAAGGTCGAGAAGCAAGTCAACGGTCGTCGAGTCACCTACGAGCTCAGGGATGTGCGGGTGGGACCAGATTGTAAGGTAGTAAATGATGATATGTCCAAGAGTGACTTTCTACGGTTTTTCGGTTCACAGAAGTAACAAATGGGAATTGGCGACCTCTGTGCTCTCCTTGAAACTCTTCATATCATCTAGTATAACTTTCAATCGTTTTATATTGCTCTATGTAGTAAAAGTAAGTCTCGCATAACATCCTTGAGCTCAGACATCGTCGATACTTATTCCGCTGGCATTTGATCACACCAGGGGAAAACTAGGAAATAGACCCAGGTATAATAGTTGAATTTATGTGTTCTATACTAATAGTACGTGAGCGAATAATATATACATCAAGGGAGAGGTAGTTCAAGCGCGGCAATGACGTTGAGACTCACTCCTGCTTGTATAGTTCCTGCCTTATAAACAAACAAACGATTCATTAACGCCCGGCGGCCGAGCCGAAAGGGCAACTATCATTGGTCTACTGTACATGTCCATCTGTGTATACTGTGTCTCCTGAAAGCCCATACATAATGCCTTGTCACATATGACAATTCCAAAAAGCAGTGTCGCAGCGAGTTTTTCGTGGGTTAGTAGTATGGGTTAGTAGGCTGGCTTGAAGGCGCTTCCCCAAGTGTTCAACATCCTATCTTCGGCAGTTGAAGCGCGTCTACCATCTGTGGCACGAGGTGGTGGGTGAGTAGGGTCGGAAGAAGAGGGTAGGTAGTTATGTTGGCCGATATGTTCAAGTGGCCTCGAGTCGGCCCGTCGCGATGGCGAAACGTACGGAGGCCCGTACTGCCTCTAGATTTGGTGTCCACTTCTGATCATCAGAAGCCTGTTTTCCGCCCAGGAAGAAGGATATGTTTCCTCGGTGAGTCTGCGTGCATTGTAACATTTCCGTCCGGTGCGCCGTCCACTTCCGACATCGGAAGAGGAAGTGCTCCACGGTCTCTCTTGCTTGTCCGCAATCGCATTGATCCGTCTCTACTACATTAATTCGATTGAGATATCCATTGAGTCTAGCCATGCCGGTACGGAGTTGGGCCAGTACCGTCGCTTCTTTCCACGACAAACGGTCATACAACTGCCGAGTGTGTTTGCCTGGGAGTGCGGCATCCACTCGTTTTGCGTGTCTCCCTACGTTCTCTGGCAGCTTGTTTCTGGGCACTGCTTGGGACCGTGCGATATTAAGTGTTGTCGACTTCATCCTCGGGACGCGTTCTTGTAGGAGGGCATCTTCTTGTGTCGCCACTCTGGCTTGTTCTTTAGCCCGACCTAACAGTTTGTTGTCTTCGCTAGTAGGGGGGATCCAGTGGAAACTGATCCGATTTCTATTTCTCCGCAACCTTCTCATCAACTTGTACATCTGACAAACAAACTCCTGGCCAGACTGTTGTCGAGGGTTCCTTAGCGTGAGCGCCGCCGCCTTGTTGCTTGTGAGCAACGTAATTTTGTAGCCTTTGATTCCGACTACCATTTTCAACACATGTGCCATGGCTGCCAGCTCCGCAGAGAACGGGTTTTGCTCTGCTCTCGCGCCCAATGTGGTGGAAAAGGTTTTGAGCTTCAATTTTCGATTTCTAGGAGGCTGTTTCTCGCTTGCGACTCCAAACCCCACCAGCTTGTTCCGTGCCAAGCTGCTGATCGCGATCTGCATCAATCCGCCCGCTTCAGTCTGGGGCTCATGTTGTCCGTCAATATTGGCCAGTAAACGTTCGTCCCATGGGGCCAACGTGAACGGGTTCATTGTTTCCAGTGTCTCCATGTCGATGTGCCTAAGCGCATCTGCTACTTGGTACAGCGGCGAGCGATGATATCGTCTGAACTTTCTGATCCGGTCTGTACCTCTGCGGAGCGGGTTGGTTTCAGGAAGGGTATACATGTCCGTCCACATCTTCACGGCCCGTCTCCAGAATCGGCTCCGCGCGGTGGCAATATGGGCCTCCGCCTCCGCTACGCTGGTTGCGACTGTGAGGAATGTCCCCACAATGGCTTGTGCTCCAACTCTTCGGAGATTGATCGGCCCCATGGCCTTGTCCTTACACGCGTGCATCCAAACATTGGAGGCGTAGTCCACAACTGGCGCCACCGTTGATGTAAATAACTGCCGCGCAGTTGCTGGGGAAAGGCCGCGAAGTCGCCGAAGCTCCATCGCTGCCTCCAAGCCCTTGGACGCGGCTCTCGCCATATGTTCCTTGTATTTCAGTCTCGTGTCCATCAGCAGACCCAGGATCTTGACGTGATCCTTGGGTGTAACCGTCTGTCTCTTGATGGTAAACGGTTCATAATCCAACTTACGCGTCTTGGGCGCAAAGTGTATGATAGCTGTCTTTTCGGCTTCAAAGGTCGCTCCGCTTCTCCTTTCCCAGTCGAGCGCTTCATTGATAATTGCTTCAGTCATTCTCGAAATCGGCTTGACCAGTAAACACTGGGACTCTCTTTTTGTCCCCACAATTCTTTAGGGTGGAATGTTCATTGAGTAGCCTGCAGTAAGTTGAGGGAGGGAACGTATTTACCTACTCCAGCTATTTAAATCACTCCTATGCTTCGAGCATCCCAGGCCCCTGTTGACAAGCACGGCGACACTGCTTTTCTCTTCGACCCCCGATTAAGCCGAGCTCGGGTCCGATGACGGTAGATGCGCTTTTTGCAGAGGATTTACCTTGTGCACGTTGACCGTTCTTTCCTAGAAGGCCCGATGTCCTACAGGCTGACCGTGTGGTGCCCTATGCACGAATTCAACGCACCAAGTTCTTACTTCGGGGGCCGTAGTATTTTCACATCGTTGTGTAACTTTGGACGATGAGAGTGCTCGGCGGGGGATAACAGGGTCCGGTTCAGATCAGGGTGATCACCAAGTATTTATGGCCAGCCTAATGCTGGCCAGGAGGCAGGGAGGTCCTGAAAGCTACATCCTGGGATACGGGAGATGGGACAGAGCAAGAGACGCTCGCGCGATTTGGGAGTGGCTTGTGGGTGCATAGATGAGTGCCGACAATTCAAGCTTTGAAATAAGATGATGAGTGAAATCAGCGGCGACGGGGTCTAATTATCTTCTGGCAAAACAACCACCCCATTTGTGTGACTTTACAGCCATATTTGACAGCATTTCTGGGCTATTGCTGCATTGGCAAGTAACCCGACAAACAGAATTCAACCCCAGTAACCTAATTTAAATTCCTAGTGCATAATAGAACACAATCTATTCTTCAACCCCTTCTGCAATGATCCTTGCGTTCTGAATCAGGGTTTGTATGCTACTGTGAGCGGAAGAAATGAAGGTAAAGATTGCCCCTGAGGAATAAGTGTTACAACAGCACCATTGTTAGATGTCATAAAAAATGATTAAAGTAATTCTAGTAAGCTATCATGTCCCTTCACTAGCGTTAGTCACCACCCGTATTTGGGGGTTGTTTGTGGCATTGCAAGTAGCCTAAAAGTAAACCGAAAGATCACTCACTCTAGTTGGCTCCATTATCTAACGTGAAGGCTTCCTAAGTATAATTAATTTCCCTACGAAGCGGACCGTATCCAAAAGCAAGATTCAAACAATATGTAATTTAAGCCAGGAACCTGGGAAACAGTCCTATAGTACGTGGCGAGGGCCCCGGGCACCTTGTGGCTGCTCCTGGGACCGAGGTCGATGGACCCTGGGAGCTTTTGCGATCCTAGGACCAGTTCTCTTTGCTCCCAGATCCATCTATCACATCAGCCAGGAGCATTCATCTTGAAATCTTTTTATCATTTCCTACTAAATGGCGACAACCTAGCTTTGACGTCAAACTTTCTCAGTTACATTAAGGCTTTCTCCTAGCAATCGGTCAAGGATATGTCTGCCTACGACGTATCTCATTCCAGACACAGGATTCTCGCATAGAAGGAATGAAGAGCTAAATTGCAATATTATGTATATGCTACAAAGCATCTCGCCATGTTAGCCATATAAGTATAAAAGCGTCGCTCTTCGGAGCGTATAGCACTGCAAAGTTGAATGCTATATTATCTCGCGTTCCTGAGCTCCGTTATTCCGCCTTCTTTATTGTTTCCTTCGTGTCCACCGACTACCGCCTAAATGTCTAATACACTCTGGGACCCTTTGGCTGTCTGTGAAATGGGACTTGACCCTCGGGGAGAGACCAAAACCTGCCGCGGTCGCACTGAAAAAGGTGCATCCTGCAAGAACCGAGTCAACTGGCGGGATATCAAAAAAGGCCATCAAAAGCTGATTAACCTTGCCAGTCTTCCGCTTGACTTGATGGGCTTAGAGCTCGTTCTTTGCAATATAGCAAAAGACTTTCTCTGCGCGCGGTGGCATCGCAGCCGGCAAGCTGACGATATTGCTCACCGATGGTGTCAAGCAGCCGTGCGGAACACGCCGCAAGCAGTCCCCGACCTTGACCATTCCCCTCAGCCATCCGCGGTGGGCACACCTACGCGCCTACGAAGCTCAGATACCGGGCTCTTGAATTCAAACAACACCCATCGACCACCACTTTTGAACGAGGCGAGTCTCAACTCACCTGTCTACCCTCCCTCCGCCACAGACCCATCACCGAGTATGGGGTCCTTCGTCACTGCTGCAACACTGAGAGCAGACAATATTCCGTGGCCCATCTCGCCAGACCAGCCCGCTTTCCTATCGTGCGTCACCAACATCCGGGCTGGTGTACAGGGCATAGAACTCCACAGCCTGGGCCGCAGTGATGAGGTATCTGATATACACTGCACCTTTTGTCTGACCGAAGACGGTGAAAGTGCAAGTGAGAGCGTAGTCCTACGCTGTGTGGAATGTAGAGCTTTGTCACATCTGGCTTGCATTGAAGGATGGCTGGACCAGAGGGACACGGGATTCAACACGTCGTGTTGTGTTTGGTGAGCGCAACTACCCACAGAATTTGTGGAGAATATACTAATAGTAGGATACAGTCGCAGCGAGGGAGCTCTGGAAGCCTTGATCCGCCCTCGCAGGGGCGTGTCGACCGGCACTGGAGCATGTGCTAATGACACCACCGCAGACGTGCCTCAGACCACCAGGAATACGCAACCCAGCCATTTGGCTCCGACTGAAGAACGATCTAGATCGGCGGCGGGGCGCCAGGGTTCAACGGCGGCGAACAATAGCCGTCGGTCAGCAAGGCTGGGAGCACTACGTCGTCAGTCCCCAGACCCTCATCAGCATGGATTCCTTCGTCGATCAGCGAGATTATCCAATTTAGGCAGCGGACAATAGTGGTTTGATTACAGCGCTAAAATAGTACGATAGAGAAAAAGTCAAATTGGAGAGTTGTGCTTTATATTTACCATATTGAAAAATACAAAAGTTTCCATCTTCCTCGAAGGAGGGCGCTGCCGAGAACAAGTATACCCCGCAGGGACATCTGCGACACCAAGAGTCTCCGCAGGAGACAGCTGCGTCAATAAGTTCTCCGCAAGGAAAAGTGCGTTACCAAGAGGATCCGCAGGGACATCTGCGACAGCAAGCGACTCCGCAGGAGACAGCTGCGAAATCAAGCCCCTCTAGCAATGTGCAAGCACCTCTGCGTGGTGCTAGGGACCAGTATTCATCTCCCATGGGGACTGAAGAAGCCAATACTTGCACAGTAGATAGACTAAAGCATGAGCCATAGCAGCCCACTGGGAAATGCAATCATCACATTATCGATTCGGTGATCCAAAGCTCTTCGTAGGCCATACCTAGAGTCGTATTTGGTAAAATCGCTTTACGCAATAGGTTCCTCGACATGCCCGCTGATGGGCCATTTCAAAACGGTCGTCCCGGACTGCACGAGGCATATGTTACAAGTAGGCAGTTTGTCCGAATCATTCCCTCATTCGCGAACCCAATGCCAGGACCCCGTCCAGGCAGGATTTTCGTGACGCTGACCAATAAGGTGACCTGAGCCGTCGTAGAACCTCCAGCCTTGAAAAGTGGAAAATGGTGCTGAGAGCGACTTTGAGCTGATGCGATTCTTGATGGGAGTGATTTTTGATGGGTGAGTGTTGACGGGTACGTGCTGACGTTGACTCGCCGGGCTACAAACATGCGGTGAAGCGGTGAACGGCACTCGTTACTTGGTTCACAGTGGCTGATCTGCCCTCGACCCACTTCGCGCGTCCACTCGCTATTGTCCCATCCGCCCCAGGTATACGTCCTCTCCAAGAATTCTCGTAGATCCAAGTCTGCTCCTTTGTGATTTCTTCACATCAAGTACCTTCACGGAATCGACACCTCCCCATCTTTTGAAGCCAACAATTCCCACCTCATAATGGCACAGTTTGATCCGTCGTCTGCCGACCGTGCTCGCACGGGAATTGCGAATTTTGAGAGAACAATTGAAGCTTTGGGCAACAGATCTGCCTCACCAGTCCCGACAGCATCCTCGCAAAAGACAGGCGGCTCAAATAAGTCCAGTCACAAACACTCGACCCGAAGAGAACCTAGTGACGGAATACAAAAACGAGTGCGATTTGACCTGGTTTCGAAAGACACGTCTAGAAGCGTTGCACATTCCAACAGATCTGTACAGTCAAGATCTAGTACGGGTCGGTACGTGCCCTCATCCTCCCTAACTTTACAGCCCAGCCATGCTAGTCTACAACGCAGACTGGGCAGACGCAGCAGGTGTGTACTTCAAATCCGGAGCCCCCTCATATTTGTGTCTAAGACTGAGAACTGATTTGTATCTCTAAAATGCAGGTTACTCAGGCGAGACGCCAAATGGGACGACCAAGAAAGGAATGGCAGTAACAGAAAATGTACTGCCAAGGGCAATGAAGATTTCGATAGTGATATCCAAGACCTTAAAAGAGAGATGGCAAACGTCAAAGAGGGACTGAAATCAGTCAAAGTGTGTAAGCCGGATGACTGGATTTAACCCTGAGGGATGAAACCGTCAGTCAGGGCCGTGCAGAACTTAAGACTTGTTTGGCGGGATTGCGAGGAATGGAGAGGAAAATTTGGACGAAGACTCACCTACGAATGCCTTTGAACGAGTATCCAAACGAATATTAAATATTGAAAAATCCATATAAGAAGACAAACACAATCAATTCTGCTCCGTAAAGCAAAATGCAAAATTGAAGATCATATCATAGAGAATAAAGACCTCTCCCGTCCGACACTACGTTCCTATATACTTAACTCTCAACCGGACTGGCTAGACCTTTTTTGTAGCTTTTCTGCTGGTGTTTTCTTCTTTTTTTCTCTCTTCTTTTCCATATTTCTCAAAAGATTGATCCCAGTGACGACTTATCTCGATGCTGAAAACGACTTGCTTTTATCAATCAGCAATCAAAGCTCCTTCTCCACGCACTCAGAGGCAATCAGTCCTTGGACCTCTTCTTCGTTGTTCTGTAGCATGGTCGCTTTATAGATTTCGTAAAGAGCCTCGGCAACAACTTCTCGAGCCTCTTTTTCTGAAGGACTCAAATTCCCCCAGCCTTCTTTGATTCCTTCTTTCCGCATGAAGTCCGCCTGACTAAACTTGACAGTGGGAGCCTGACCTCGAGTTTCCGCTATATTGCGGTTGTCAGATTCACTGGACGCAGAATTCGTAGGTCTTGGTTCTGGGCTGGTAGGAGAAACCGCATCGTCCGGTTCCTCGTCGAGGCTGACCGGGTTGAATTTGGTGCCTCCTCGGGTGTCCCGCCGCGACGGCGCAGGTGTGCCGTTGGTACCGTAAGTCGGAGAAGAATCTCTGACACCAGGTGTCCGTAGGCGCGAAGTGGCTCTCCGTTCCCGAAGGCGGCCCAAGGAGGCGTTCAATGGACATGGCGTAGTACCACGATTGCGTCCTCCGGACCCGGGCTGATTCTCAGCCCAGGCTGCATACTGATTCTCTTGTTCGTCCCAAACTTGTTTGATTGTTTTCTCAGCTGCCTCGAGCCCACGACAAAATCGAACTAACTCGCACTTGGGAATCCACGAAAATCCCAATGTAACTTCGGACCTTTTTTTGTCATCATCTTTCACCATTGCAACTTTGCAGCGTTTCATGTCATCATCTCTCAAATCCTTCTACAGAATTTTCACCCACGAGCATGGACTACGTGTGAGGTTCTGGAGCCTGTGTTTTCAAAGAGTGCTCCATAAATGCCGGCGACATTGGCGGTCGTGTACCGGTATACCTTCTTCCCACTAGCAGTGCGGTCTCGAATTGCCGAGACTCGGAAGTCTTCGTCGGTAATACTGGCGAAGCAATCGTTGGTGTAGTTGGGTTCATATCTGAATGTGAATTTGGCCGCGTAAGGTGGACCTTCTTGCACGATCACGAAGGTGGATCCTCTCAGCGTGCCCCATCCATCGACAGTGGCATTGGGATCAAGAGACTCGCTTTCCGTGGGGCGGTTTGCCTTCTTTTTCCCACGTGTATCGATGATAGCCAGACATTTAAAGCCTTCAACAAGGCCAGCGGTGTCTTGGCTTTGGGGCGATGACACTTCTGGAGGGGGATGATCACTTTGTACATCCGGTCGATTGCTCTGTGCAGATTGTCGCTGGTCATTGTTCGCACAACTGGGACTGAAGTCTTGCATTTCAATATCATATGCCTCTACCGATGGGATAGCCCTATCAGGCTGATGTGTGGAATTGTCATCCATAGGGGCGTCTTGGTGCATCTTGCCTAGATCGTCCCCATCGGGATAAGATATCTGGTTCTCATTCGAGTTTGCTGGGGATATCGAGGTTTGTTCCAAGCCACTCTAGCTTCCCGGCTAAGTAGGACCCATCTGTTGCCATCTGTTCTACCTTGCCCACATTGGAAAGAGAGACCTTTGCCTTTGGGTCCGGCCTTTTAGAGATGCCTGTGGATGACATGACGAAAAGCTAAAGAAGGAATATGTCTCGATCGAAGTGATATGTGTGTTCTACAGGAACTATTCATGCATTTTTGCCTTGCTGATATCGTCGCGTGCTTTATACTTGATCACGTATGCGAATAACAAATTGCGGATGCCGTCATTTTCAGGACGCTGATTGCCCTTCAATCGAGTCGCAATTTCAAAGGGCGTTGAGAGCCATGGAGACCTCTTGCCCAGTGGTCAATTTTCGAGAAGCTCTGATATCATGTTCTTGAGACAGGCCAGCGCAATTGCCGGATGTTGGTGCGTAGTAAGGCCATGTGAGCGACTCAAAAGCCGAACACGCTAATTGAAATGGCTCAAAAGACCTGACATGCATGTTCCGGCGGCTGATGCCGCATTTCATGCATGCTCGTCATTCCTCCGGGCTTAGTCGCCACTGAAACTGCCATTATTCAGCGAACATTCATTTGCTAATAAGCTTATCGGTTTGAAATAGTGTACCTTCATCCATTTGGAACCTATTCGTGAGGCCCAAGACGTCGACGGAATCTCTGTCATCGATCAAGCATTCATTGACAACCAACCCTCAACAAGTGCCTCCTCGTGAAGCAGTCCCTGTCCTGCAGCAGGCAATACGAAGATAATTGTAGCCAAAGAAAGTAGCCTCATGAAAATGTCCGTTGGGTGTCCTTGGTTTATAGCTAAATGATTTGGCCGCTCGCGATCTAAGTGAACGTCAATCAATATTTTCTGGTTTTCTTTAAAGACCACAAAAAACTTCTATCCATTTTCAATATATTCAGTGCTTCAGGAGCTCGTCAAACGAGGTTTCCAGTTTCCTGCCCAGTATAGTCCTCTCGTGTTGGAAAATCAGCCCTAGGCTACAATGACTCGTTGGACGCTCTTTTTCGCAGTCCAAATCCTGCAGATGATCGCTGGAGCGGTCGATCCCTCCTCTCATCGGCAGCATCCCATCCATGAGCGCAGCACTGATCTTTATGCCGCAGTACTAGGTGGTAACGGCAAGATCACCGACGGCTGGCCAAGTATCGATCAATGGGCTGACTCTCTTGAAACCATGTTTGAGAACAACAAAGGGACCATATCTGTCAGCTGTGCCGAATGGGGGCTCCCTAATAACTCGGAAGACGAAACCCAGTTCATCAAGGATGCCATCGTCCAAGCGGAGAAATCAAGCGGCGTCGACGCGCGCTTCATTTTGTCGATCGTCATGCAGGAGAGCAAAGGATGCGTTCGTGTCCAGACCACAAATAATGGGGTTGCTAATCCTGGACTGATGCAAAGCCACGACGGACCGGGGTCCTGCAACAAAGATGGAGTAAGTCAGAACCCTTGTCCCAGGAGCGAGATACTCCAGATGATCCTGGACGGCGTTGAAGGCACCCCAGCCGGGCCTGGCCTCAAGGCACTGATAGCTCAAGAGGGTGGCACAGCAGATGTGACTTCATATTACAAGGCTGCGCGTGCTTACAACTCCGGCGCGGTGGCTTCTAGCGGCAACCTGGGCCAGGGCGGTGCCACTCACTGCTATGTTTCTGACGTCGCCAATCGCCTTATGGGTTGGACCGATGGACCCAGTTTGTGCGCTCCAGATGCCATTGGGCAAATATCTGCTGCTCTTTGGGATGGCGACAGTTCTGCTGGGCACACTGACCGCAATGGGACGTCGACTACTACAACCGCGCGGATCCTTGCCCAAACCCACGGTTCCTCTTCATCCAGCCTAAGCGCACCCTCAACACTTATTGTGCAGTCCTCTGTGACCTGGACATCTGCGCGGGCCTCTCACAGTTCAACTTCATTGGCTTGTAGACGCGAGGGCACTTAGGCTACACAACATATATAGCGTCATGTTGGACAGTGCTTATGATGTCCTAGCTGTGTTGATATCAAGGACCGAGATTGTCTAGCCATCAGAGTAGATACAAGCCAAAGCGTTTCCAAAAGGATTCAGGTATACCGAAAGCAGAACGCTCATTTGAAGTCCTCTTTCTCTAAGCGTGCGAGAAGTCTCCCTTGTAGTTCCAGCTGAGCAAGAAGTTTTTCTTCCCGCACCTTCTGCTCTGCTTCCCATTTCTTTTCTCGTTCCTTCTGATCTGTTTCTCGTTGCTCCTCACGAGCAAATTGCTCTTCCAATTGAGCATGGAGTTTCTCTTCGCGCGCCTTCTGCTCTGCCTCCCGCATCTTCTGCTCTGCTTCCCGTTTCTCCTCCTTTGTCTTCTGCTCTACCTCCCGTTTCTCTTCTCGTTCCTTCTGATCCTTTTCTAGTTGCCTTTGTCGTATATTTTGTTCTTCAAGCTGGGCAAGGAGTCTCTCTTCCCGTGTCTTCTGCTCTGCCTCCCGCATCTTCTGCTCTGCTTCCCGTTTCTCCTCCTTTGTCTTCTGCTCTGCCAGCTGTTGCTTCAGTGTCTGAACCATCATTCGCAGCTCTGGTTGCAGTCCGCGGCTTTGCGAGGATGCGGCTCTACGATATCCTGGGCGTTCCTGCGATCCAATGATGGACAGCTGTGACTCGACTTCATCAACGTCGAGTCCTAAGGTATCGTCTTCTGGATCAGGCACTCTGCCAAGGACGCGCATCAATCGATCGGTATGAATGCGCAGGAACTCACGGTCCACATTTTCCACGAATCGATAGCATGTCCATCGGTCCTCTGGAGTCCAGACGTTGGGTTGCGCAATTGGCCACCGGTAGAATGAGACTTTATCTTCCTCAAACTCAGGATAGTAGCCTTATATGCGAAAGCCATCGAGCTCATGAGATATCGAAAATCCCAGAATTCGCCGATGCACCTCTTCTGTGCACCCAGCCGCTTGGCACAGCGAGACCACGGCTCGCAGCGCGATGCACATGCTGTGCATGTTTTGCCGGTCCGCGAGCTCTAGCGCTTGGTTTCCACACTTGATTTCAGCGGTCAGGTAAGGAAAGTACATGTCCTCGCGCGCTGTATACGGCGATTTTTCGTCGGGTCTGATGCCGAGCTTGCGCCGTTGGCTCTCAGTGAACACTGACCACTTCAATCCACGTGCATGGTCAGGCTGCGGCTTTGGACCATAGATCGGCTCAGTCTTCAGCCATGGATCATTGTATCCATCTATGACGTCTCTCAGGCCCTGCGTGCCCCTGATGAACTGATTTTCCGCGGACGGCATGATCAGGGGATGCAGGTCTACCAGGAGACGCGCTTCAGACCGGTTCCGCAGCGCGTAATGGAATCTGTCAACATACTCGTCATCGAATAGGGTGCCCTGGGGAGTGGCGATCGGCTGATGAAGGAGACGCTCACAGAGCGCGATGTCGTCGGGCATCGGGCCAGCCGGGGACGGCTGCATGAAGCAACCCTTGGTCTCCAGTATGGTCACATAGTTCACAGCTCGGTAGGCGTATGATCGAGTGTCACGAGCCGAGCTGCTTTCGCTATTTTCTGAGGAGACAGGCCGAGCGCGCCCCCGGTCGGTAGAGATCGAACGCGATCGGGATAGTTTGGATGCCGGTTCGCTCATCGCTTCAACGGTACCGGCTGCTGATGGCGCAGGTATCCAGTGGTATATCTGGTCATCAAGCGGGGTGGGAGTATGCGTGAGCGAGATTGGCGTCGTAGTTCGGTGTTCAGGAGGATTGGATTTCTATGCAGTTAGCTACTGGAAGGTCGTCAACTTAGACACGCTACTCACTTTTCTAGTGTGATCTGGCGAGGAGGGAGAAAGCGGCTGTGATGATTTCCTACGGTCGTGCTTCCTCTGCAAAGTTTCTGGATTCGTGCTCAAGCTACCTCGCCGGGGAACTTTGGACGGCCGCTCCTCACCATCACACTGAGAGTCGCATAGATCGGGCGATGTTGCACGTTTCATGACGGTGTATTTGGCCAACCAAGGGTATTCATCTTCCTGGTCAGCACCACGCTTGGACAGAGATCAAATGCGACGCGCTTTCATCGGTCAGAGGATGTCGGGTATCAAGTGGTGACGGACGCCCTTGGCCAGCAGAACATGAGCCGGCGCCAAGACACCCAATCAATTCCTCCGCGGACCGTCATGGACCCACCATCTAGCGGAGCTCTCTGCCTCAATGTCTCAGAGCCAACCCGCATTAAGTTAGTTTGGGCGATCGAAGAAATGGCGTTTCAAGTTGGACATTACACATTCTTGCTGGGAACTCGACTCCTCTTCTTGTGTGGTGGCCACATTGTACCAATCATCTCACAAGTGAGGATTTGTTTTGATCCCCACATCATGAGCAGCTATCAAGACAGAGCTGCCGGCGTATCAGCACAGGGCGCTCTGTGAAAGTCCGCCAGCTCCTATCCTGATGAGGGAAAGACACTTTGATCCTGGGACTTACCATTAAAGCCGGTTCAACGAGGCCTACTGTAGCTAGCCAGTTTACTACCCTGGTCACGAAATCGAGTTGCTCAGATGCGCCGCCCCCCAAAGAGTGAAAACCGCGCGGTTTGCTTTTCGATTGAAAATACACATAAAATCTATGATAAGTCTCGATGATAGATAATTCCCCGTCTATGATAGGATGCGCCCAGTAGGCCCTCCGGTCCATGTCATTGAGCACGTCTTGACTTGATTCTGGATTCTGCACCGTGCCTCCGCCCAGCCCATCCGAAACACCCATTCCCGTTAGTTACAGGCTGAAAGAACCCAAGCGAAGAGAGCGAGGGCATCGCTCAGACATCCAGCTTTGGCCCTCCATCGGACGCTTCTGATTCGACCCTGCATAATCCTTCTGCTGATCCCGTGGCAGATCCCGGGATATTAGTGTCGAAGAAAGTCGACGCCGAAGAAAAGTCTTCGCGCAGACGAATATGATTATCAGGGCGCTTGGGTGGTGTCGATCCAAGCCCAGAGGCATGGGAAGGCGGCAGGTCTTGTGGCGAGCGGACCTGGTTTAACTCAGACCGCTCCTTCATGTCTGAGCGATCGTTTGAGCTTTCAATCTTTGCGTTCTGAGAGTTCGCATTGTCTGGTGGCCCTTGTTGGGTATGACTCTGTTGACAAATACACGGTGATGATTGCACGAGAGTGCAGAGCCGATTGAGCACAGAGAACTCCAGCTTTAGCTTTATGCTGTACACCACGGTCTTGAAACTGACTTGAATATAGTGCACTTTGTACTCTGTGATGAGGAGCAGGATATTCATGACGACCACGAGTACGTTCACCCAAATGAGGTGAATCATGACTTTGCGTCCATCGGGACCGCGCATCTGCGTGATCAATTTCAGCGACCGCATTGCTTCGCGCATATACAAACCGCAGATGATCAGGTCCTGGATGCAAAAGCCCGTCACTTGGATACGATCGTAGATCATGGCCGGTCGTACGAAGCGGGCGTCGCCGCTGTTCACGCCAAAGAATAGCACAGTCATGGGTATGTGAAAGGCGCAGGCAGTGATGATGATCATCCATAAAACCCATCGCAAGAGGGTAGCATCGCGGACAACAATTCTTAGTCGTGAATAGAGCATGATCGCTTGACCAGTGACCATCGCGTACCATCCGATCATGAACGGAATGGAGACCGCCAGATTGGAAGACTGGGACATGAAGCGAGCCATTGCTGGGATAGCATGCACAAGAATCCCCCATGCTGCAACTTGCATGCTCCAAAAGTATAGTCCACGGTAGTGCTTGAACGCATCGAAGATGAGGACCACAGTCTCGAGAGAATTGTATGCGCCGATTGAAAACATGGACACAATCTCGATGACTGCGATGTTTCGCATGAGGATGGCCCCAACATCCGGAGGGAGGCTGGTGACAAGGGTGTCCATGGTTACAATATGCGAGTAAAGGGAGCAGAGGCAGATAGTGTCAGAATGATTGGGCAACTGGAACTAATACGTTGCTTAGGACCTGCTATCAAAGCTTTATAGCAAAATGGTCGGACAGCACCGAGTCGTCTGTATGGTAACGTCAATCACTCCCATCGAGAGATTTATATCAAATGCAAAAGTCTAATGTGGAAAGAATGATCCAGGCCTTCATGGCGCCCATTGATTCATGACATTGCCTTTATCGTGGTGATTCTATCCACCAATGGCCGTGGCTATTGTTTGTTCATGTTGGTGGGGAATTCCACTGTGAAAGGCGCGCGGTACTGTCAGGACCGCGGATCAAAATTATGGTTGATAAACATTAGGCGAACCACGGATGAGGTCTTTTCGGGGGACTATGGACCTTGGTTTCTTAAATCTTGAATCACTTTCTGGTCAATTTACAAGCTTTTGTGAGTTCCATTCTTCTGTTGATACGCAGCTTCCGGTGACAGAATCGAGAAAGATTCACAAGCCCACAGTCGGTCCAGATAGTTGGACAGGGTTAGAAAATCCCGCATGTGTTCAGTGAACCTTTGGTAATTCGACAGTTATAGCGACGCTTTCCAGAATTATCAAAGCTATAAAGAAGTCAGACGAGTGGACGTGCTTTGTTGGAACGGCAAATCTCCTCACGAGGCTGAGGAGCTGACAACACCCTATATGAAGTAGAGGGCATCATTCAAGGGCTGGTCAGCAAGGGGATCTAGTCCCTTCAATATCTCAAAACACATTTAGAAGCGTAGGATCGAGCGCTGTGAATACTATGGGCGGGCCTACATGAAAGCCCCTCTATAAACGCCAGCACGTTTTCGATTTAGCTAATAGGATTCTCCGTGGAACCAGAGCCCCCACGTTTCATGTCTGCCAAGATTCAAGATCCGTGGAGCGGATCGGTCGATCAGTGGCTCCACATGAAGAGGGTTACCCCTGGCGTGAGCCAAGTCGGGAAATTCATCAATACAGATTTACGCTATAGTATCGTGACAGCGAGCTCGGTGAGCGTGTTTGGCGGTATTGGAGAAGTACATGAAGCCCGTGGCTTCCCGTGTCGGCTCCTGAGGGTCTTTCCTACCACAGACCTGTCTTTCATCCAGAACGTCTCCTCACTGTGACGATCAATTTCTCGACGCGCAAAGCCCAGTTTAACAAGACACGAATCCTTTTCTAGCCCACACCAATCTGCAAGGCTAGCGTGGATCATGGCCGCGGGCGTACCGAGTAACAAGTTGGTCAGTCGCCATCCTCCATATTTTTGAGATCACGCTCGTTCGCAGGACTCGTGGATAATTGTTCTTAATTCTTGCTCTCTGTGCACATTCGCTGACCGAAATGACATCTAGGATCGTGTAAAATCACGGGAGAGCAGAGAATACCGCAAGGCAATATACCAGAAATGCTTTGCTGTCACAAATGCATGCGAGGAAGAGTTCTATCAGGCACTTGGCGAAAAGGACGCACAGATCGCCGGCATGCAATTGGAAATACAACGTCTCCACGCCGATAGGGCCGAGGATGCCGCCAAAATCCAGCAGCAAGTGATAGAAAATGGTAAAATCTTTTTTGAAGCACGACGCCTGGAAAACGAACTGCATGAGTTGCGTCAGCAGATGAATCTCATGGCTGCCAACATGCAAGCACAAATCCAGCAGCAGGAGAATCAGCTAGCCTCACAGCATGCGATTGGCGAGGTCGCTGCGGCGAATGCTCTACTCTGGAGCATGGTCAACAATCCAGTGAGTGGACCGCAGATTCCTTATGTGCCAGAGTCAGGATTGGCTGACGGAGGCTGGCCTGACCAAAGCGCCCTCGACTTTCCCGTCCACGAATGCTCTCTTCAACCACAGCACTCGATTGATCTTAATTTGACATGAGACTTCAGTCCAGTGAAGCACGGTGGGAGGTCAGGGTCACTAACAGTCTGGGGCTTGATAGAACGAGGAGTGGTCACCCTTAGCACACATTGCACAATTAAGAGTAATTGTACTGGAATCCATCTTGACTATTTCTGCCATTTAGGCCATTAGCAGCAAAGTCTTCGCCATAGTAATAGATGATATCGTCATTGCAAACTCTCCTACCCTCTACAGTTAAGCTGCAACAAACGTTTTGTGCTGAGCGGAGTGGCGTAGTGGATACTCGATGTGAACGCGGTCCAGATCCATAACTCAATCATCGGTTAGTTTCTCCCCGAGCCTGCCAGTGTCCTGGGTACCCACTTCCCGCGATAAGCACCGGAAAATAAAATTCTGCGACTAGATGCCCGTGTATACTCCCTGTGAGCGATTTAGCTGGTCCTTCGTGATGAGGCACTTGCGTGGAGGTAATGAGGGCGAAAGAACGTGGGGGACTTTCACTAGCATATCCTGCCTTCAGTCAATATTTTAAGTCCTTCATCTTCAGAGTTCTTCAGGCTGGAATATTGACTTCAATGACACAATAGTAGACCAATAATTGTCCCGAGTCATTGGGACCACCCTGAATGAATCCCGGGCGTCAAAATTTGATTGACGCTGGGTGTGGACGGATTCAGGGTAGACGAACCAATACTCATATTTAGTCCCACTCAGGTCCGGACAAAGTCAATTCACAGCGCGTCCATGGTTGTGACATTTGGAATAGTCTCCCGGATAGTCAAAAGACAAATTCTTAGTACCTGCCTTTCTCTCTACTAGCCTTGCAGCCAGTGAACCTGTTTTGAGATCGGGAAGCGTTGCTTATTCTCGAGAAACTTGTGATTTCTCTTCATGCCAGGGTTGACACTGCATACGGCAGATCTACAGGTGTGACGTAACCGGAATTATATCATATTGATTACGGTCGCGATAAGTGTACGGCCCATGGTTCCGACAACCCACTGCCAAGTCAACGGATCGCCGTCCACAGTCCAGAGTAACCCGCTTTGTATCCTAATTTTACAGTCGATAGCGGAAACAGCTTCTACCCTGACGCCTGCTTTTGTTGTCTCAGGCCCCACTGCCAAGGCATTAGCGCGCGGAATTATTTAACAGCTAACGGTACGGTAATAACCACCCAAGGTAATGCTCGGTATAGGATAGTAGGCTTACGGTATTATAATTACGGAATACTACACATTTGTTTTCATTATCCTTTCGTCGGGGGGTGTACTTGGGTATTGGATAAGCACGTGACTATGATGATACAACACGATTGGCTGCTCAGGACCCATCGCGCGGCCCGCAAAAGTCATCAGCACGAAAACCAATGATATGCGAGTAGCTAGCTCATATCCTTACGTTGCTAACATTTCGTCTTCTCAACTAGAATGAAATAAAGAGAGACTTTTGGTGTATCTTTTTAGAATTTGGAAGGGCCCTCAATATTAAATGCTGACATTTAGTCCCAATCAGGAATAGCGGTCGATCTCTTCTGGAATACCATGGAATTCGGAAGATCTACATGCAAATGAGGCAAACAATTTGTTGAGTTGAGTGATCCTGCTTTACGAGTGTTTCATCCCAGGTCACTACCATTACTGATCAGATCGAGCGCCTGTGTAATTAACCATCATCGCCGTTGCGAGATGCTGATGTTGTTGACTATACAGATATTTCTGTTTGCCTATGCTCTATTGTCAGCGGTCGCTTTGTCTAGGTAAGATGTAACAGGGAGCAATCAAACCGAAAGACCCCCAAGAGTCTGTTGATGAACAATGACGTTGATAATATCTCCCATGATAGCCAGGAAATTATGAGTTGCAGTCCATTCAACACTCAAAATGATCCACCGCTCTTTGACTCGTATGACCAACTCGATCAGTCCTCGCTCTTTGCCCCAACTCCCGGATATGCCCCGACTCCAGGATATGCCCCGACTCCAGGATATGCCTCAACGCCAGGATATGCCCCAACGCCAGGAGATGGCTTTTGCCAGACGCCCTCCATGATGAATTCTATTAGCCCTGAGAATCGCCCAGGTGATGATTTCTCCAGACAGCGCCAATCGCCACAACTTGGTCAGATTCGTCTACTTCAGCTGGGTGAGTGGGAGGAAGGGAGGTCATACGACGAGCTTCCACCCACCTGTCTTCATTATTCGATTTTGTGGAAGGTGACCCTCAATAATAAAACAATCCGGAAAAATACGGAGCAAGACTTGGTATTGGCCCCAAGGTTTCACTGGCGTCTTTTTTGGAGCCAAAATTAAAGGAACTTGTAGGCAAGAAATTTCTGCAGAGAAGAGTTGAACTAGATGATACAACAACCGTTGTATCAGTGAATCACCGTAATCAGCCAGACCTCACTCTTTCCTGTGACCAAACTGATGTGGATTGGCCTGCTGTGGAGAAACAGCTTCTATTGTGGGGCGATCTTTTCCGCGCTGGGAAGAAACTAACACTGAATATGACATTCAGCTACGTTGAGAGTAGCCACATCCTAAGGCCCAGCCCAAGAGGGACAGACAAAAGAGGGGCTTCATCTGCTACCCAGCTCATGTTGCTTGAACGGCAGGCAGATATCAGCGCACAGGAACAGGCCACTGGGCAACCTCCTACTTGGGACTATGTTTACAGTCTGATGCGGTGCTCCAGTGGAGCATGTGAGCTGGGGCCGCATTGCTGGCGTGACCCTATTAGCAAAAAGCACATTAAACTAACAGTACAGAACCTGAGGGCCCTGGTGAATTTTGCTGAACAGGGCGGTGTGTTAAAATCCCACGATGACGTTCCCGAGTCAATTCGTGAACAACTATATATACAGGAGCAGCAACGACTTGACAGGCAAAAGAGCGGTGCCCAGTCCACAAATGGATATCCTCCTATAAACATCACCAACGTCCTTCCTACGCAGTCTTCCCCTCACTCTGTGCCAACCACACCGACGCCGACGCTGACGCCGAATATGTGTAATGGAAAAGTGTCTACAGATTTCATCGAGATCCCTGGTCTGCGAGACCTTGCCGTTGCTGAATATAGTGACTGGCAGCAATCACAAGTCAATGATGAAAAACTGAAAGCTGAATTTCGCAAAGCTTGTGATACTGCACTTGAAGATGGACTGGATCTTGCCCAGATTCATGATGATCAGGACCCGGGATTCTTCATAAAGAATGGCGTTAAAAGAGGCATTGCTCGCCGTTTTGTCGGGGATATCAATTATTGGATTAAGCATTATAAGTGTAATATTGAGTAGACTATAGATCAGAACAACTTCGAATTTCATCATCAAGGTTCTTCAATATTCCAGCCTGCATGTCGAAAATGACCTTTTGCACTTTTTTCTCTTGCCCCCACAACATCAACACACCATTGGAGAAAGGAGTCAAAACCCTGGCCCGGATTCTCTTCATATGTCAGCCACTGTCGTTTAATAAAGGCTTTAAGCTCAGCGAAGAATTCCTCAATCGGATTTAGATCCGGTGAGTAGGGCGGTAAGTATACCAATTTGACACCGGCCGCAGAACACATGTGCCGAATACCCTCCGTACGATGGAAAGAAGCATTATCCATAACAATAACAGATTTTGGCTCCGGCCACCTCCCGCAGTGATCCAGAAGCTGGCGAATAAAATCTTCAAAGACACCAGCATCCGTCGATCCCTGGAAAACCCGTGAAAGGACAACGCCATCTTGAGCATACGCGGGAAGTATCTGGTATCGCTGCCCGCGGTGAAATTGAGATATCTGGACAGGTGTCACTCCCAGTGGGGACCATCCAGTCCGTCTGAAACCTGCTCGTTTATCACAGCCCGACTCATCCACATACACGAGGTGATAGGATCGAAAAGACGATATAGTATGAAGATAGTAGTCCCGTAGCTCGATATTTCGCCCCCTTGCTATCCGCCTTGCAGCTTTCTTAGACCATCCAACCGATGCAAGCGCTCTGCCAATGCTATATACGGTGACAAGGACGCGGAACTCATCCCACAGGAAAACCGCCATCTCATCCTGATAGAGATCCGGCTTTTCAATGAGACGCTCACAGAGAGCTTCGATCATAGGTGGGGTAATCGTTCGTCGTCTGCCGATACCGTTGGCCGGCGCTCTGGCACTTCCAAAGCATCGTAGGTTCGAGCGGATAGTGCTGACTGATCGTGGAGTGCAATGGGCAGCCTCGGCAATCTGCGCGTTAGTATACGGTTGTGGGTCTTGGATCATGTCACGGATGAGATCGAGTCGCCACGCGTCAAGTCTGGGTGCCATATTTCTACCACTGACGCTGTTCAACCCACTCGTTCTGATTGGACTTCGTAGTGCCACGGCATCGCCGGTCACGGACCATGATATCACGTGCGACGCACCCTCGCTAGCGGCTGGTGGCTTTCTCCAATAGCAGCTGCTCTGTTGCCGCGCTACGCTCCTCCCCTCAGCCCGGGCTGAGACCTGCTGCTGGTGACGGGGATTCTCCTGTCTGCCACGCGATGGGGCTCTTTCCTTGTAGTGACCCCCAGCACAAGGGCCATGAACCTCTGTTCTTATTCAACCATTCCTAAATTTCCTCGTCACAAAACTATTCTTTTCGCAAAACCACACTGACCTTCTACATGGCCCGTCCTCCAAAAGATGCTTTCCAAATCGGCTGGATCTGTGCCCTTCCAATCGAGGCTGCTGCTGCTGCCGAGATGCTAGATGAGAAATTCGGAATTCTCGACGAACAAGATGCAGCGGACTCAAATACCTACACGCTGGGCCGAATCGGCAAACACAACGTCGTGGTCGCCTGCCTCCCTGGCGGCCAGTACGGAACTACCTCAGCTACTACGGTCGCAACCAACATGCTTCGCACCTTCTCCAAGTCGCTTCGAATCGGATTGATGGTCGGTATCGGGGGTGGAGTTCCTTCCGCTGCTCATGATATTCGACTCGGCGATGTCGTCATTAGTTATCCCCAAGGTACTTGTGGTGGGGTGATTCAATATGATATGGGCAAGATTATTGCAGGCGGTGAATTCGAACGCACTGGTTCGTTGAACAGTCCGCCGAGGGCAATATTGACCGCAGTTGGCACCGTGAGAGCTGCCAGCCTGACGGATGATCCCCGCTATCTGGAGTATCTCCAAAGTGCAATCGGAAGAACCGCTCGAACTAGGAAGAATTTTAGCCGGCCTGCTTTACAATCTGATCGACTTTTCAAGATACAATATGATCACCCTGCCAATATAAGGAACTGTGATAAATGTCTAGTAGAGTGGGAAGAAATAAGAGATGAACGGGAGGATAGTGATCCACAGCCCCACTATGGTATTATTGCTTCTGGAAATCATGTTATCAAGCACGGGCGGACAAGAGAGCAACTTCGTTCAGAGACCGGGACATTGTGCTTTGAAATGGAGGCAGCTGGTCTAATGCTCGATTTTCCCTGTGTTGTCATCCGCGGAATTTGTGATTATGCCGACTCGCATAAGAACAAAGAATGGCAAGGATATGCGGCTCTAGTAGCAGCAGCGTACACAAAAGAGCTGCTGGGATATGTTCCTGTTGGCCATGTCTCCCAAGAGAACCTGGTAGTAGACGCATGCAGTAAGTGAAAAGGGTCCTAGCTGGGTTAGTCCTGAATAAAGAGTGAATTGCTTATATGGCTCTATATAGACGGATTGAAGAGCGAAATTATGGGCACAAATCAACGTCTAGACGAAGCATACGTTCAGCAAGAGCACCATCATCGTGAGAAGGTTACATTCGTGTTGACGGATCAGCAAAACCGCTGCCACCAAATATTCAAGGTATCAAGTTACGAGGAGCAAAAGAATATCAATCCTAGAAAGGTAGAAGGGACCTGCCTGTGGGCTACACTGAGTCCCGAATATATCCGTTGGGCAGAAAGCAACTGTAACGATCTTCTCATAGTGTCTGCTGACCCAGGCTGCGGGAAGTCCGTGCTCTCCCGATCGATAATCGAAGACCAGTTAGAAGTTTCTAATCCAGGAGTGACCATCTGCTACTTTTTTTTCAAGGACAACGACGAGCAGAATCATCTTGCTTCAGCACTCTGCTCCGTACTCCATCAGCTTTTTAGCCAGCAGCCTCAGCTCTTGCGTCATGCCATACCATCATGGGGAAAACATGGTGAAAAACTGCGACAAGAGGTTGACGAACTTTGGAGGATTTTTACAACCGCCGTATTATCAGATGAATCATGCAAGACAATTTGTCTTTTCGATGCGCTTGATGAGTGCCGTGAGGTTGATCAGAATCGACTGATTGAGAAGCTACAGTCATTTCATCGCCTGCCACGTTCGCAGAGACAGGATACCTGGTTGAAATTCCTAGTCACTAGTCGCCCCTATGACGAGATTCAGAATAGATTTCGAGCAATAACGGGCTCCTTCCCCCGTCTTCATTTGAAAGGAGAGGAAGAAAATGATCAGATCCATCAAGAAATCAACCTTGTCGTGAAGGTGCGAGTAAGAGAGTTCGCCAAAGCAGCAGCGTTGTCACGTGATACAGAGCAGCGACTTAAGCAGCAGCTTCTACAAATGGAGCACCGTACGTATCTCTGGTTACATCTAGCCATTGACGACATTCGATCCACACTTGAGGATAGTCTCCGCCCTTCTGAGGAAGAAATACAGATGATACCTCAATCAGTCGATGAGGCGTACGAGAAGATTCTTAGTCGATCGCCACCCCGTCAAGTGGACATTACAAGGAAGATCTTACAAATCATGGTTGCAGCACGGCGCCCTTTAACAACGGCGGAAATGGCCATGGCGCTCGGTATAGCCACCTCTCCACAAGCCCAAACTGCTGCAGAAGCTGGAATTGAAGCATCCCAATTCTACAAAAAGCTGCGTCGATTATGTGGCCTTTTTGTTTTCATCAACAACTCCAAGATCTACTTTATTCATCAGACAGCTAGAGAATTTCTTCTCAAGAAAAGTAGCTCTAACAGTGTCGACTGCTTGTACTCATGGTCCTTAACTGATACTGAGGATCAAATGGCCGTTATTTGCTTGCGATACCTATTGATGGAGGATCTGGAACACAATGAAGAATCATGCTCTAACATTCGAAGCTTTTTACATTATTCAGCATTATATTGGGCGGACCACAAACGGAAGATGAGTCTGACCCAAGACCAAGAAGCGACCGGTCAAGTTCAACAAATCTACGATCTGAGTAGAAAGGTATTTTCATTGTGGTTCCCTATCTTTTGGAAGACCATCGAGAGTTACAGTGCCCCGCCTTCGATGACGACTTTACACCTGGCATCACTCAACGGACATGAGCGGGAAGTTGAGTTTCTACTGTCTCTCGATAGGAAGGCTATCAATTCAATCGATGGCGCCGGAACGTACCCTATCATCTGGGCCTCCTTAAACGGTTACGATAAGGTTGTGCAGTTGCTGCTGGAGAAGGGAGCCGAGGTCAACGCTCAAGGTGGAAACTATGGAAACGCCCTCCGAGCTGCGTCTTTGCGAGGACACGATAAGATTGTACAGCTCCTGCTGGAGAAGGGAGCCGAGGTCAACGCCCAAGGTAGCGAGTCTGGAAATGCCCTCCAAGCTGCGTCTTCCCAAGGACATGATAAAATCGTGCAGTTGCTGCTGGAGAAGGGAGCTGAGGTCAACGCTCAAGGTGGAGGATATGGAAATTCTCTCCAGGCTGCATCTTTAGAAGGACACGATAAGATTGTACAGCTCCTGCTGGAGAAGGGAGCTGAGGTCAACGCTCAAGGTGGAACATATGGAAATGCTCTCCAAGCTGCATCTTCCCAAGGACGTGATAAAATCGTGCAGTTGCTGCTGGAGAATGGCGCTGAGGTCAACGCTCAAGGTGGAGGATATGACAATGCTCTCTACGCAGCGTCTTTAGAAGGACACGATAAGATTGTACAGCTCCTGCTGGAGAAGGGAGCCGAGGTCAACGCTCAAGGTGGACACTTTGGGAATGCTCTCCGAGCTGCATCTTCAGAAGGACACGATAAGGTTGTACAGCTCCTGCTGGAGAAGGGAGTCGAGGTCAACACTCAAAGTGGAGAAGATGGAAATGCTCTCCAAGCTGCGTCTTTCAAAGGACACGATAAGATTGTACAGCTCCTGCTGGAGAAAGGAGCCGAGATCAACGCCCAAGTTGGAACATATGGAAATGCTCTCCAAGATGCGTCTTTAGAAGGACACGATAAGATTGTACAGCTCCTGCTGGAGAAGGGAGCTGAGGTCAACGCCCAAGGTGGAACATATGGAAATGCTCTCCAAGCTGCGTCTTTAGAAGGACACGATAAGATTGTACAGCTCCTGCTGGAGAAAGGAGCCGAGATCAACGCTCAAGGTGGATACTTTGGGAATGCTCTCCAAGCTGCATCTTCAGAAGGACACGATAAGGTTGTACAGCTCCTGCTGGAGAAAGGAGCCGAGATCAACGCTCAAGGTGGATACTTTGGGAATGCTCTCCAAGCTGCATCTTCGCAACGACACAATACCATTGTACAGCTTCTGCTGGAGAAGGGAGCCGAGGTCAACGCCCAAGGTGGATACTTTGGGAGTGCTCTCCAAGCTGCGTCTTTAGAAGGACACGATAAGATTGTACAGCTCCTGCTGGAGAAGGGGGCCGAGGTCAACGCCCAAGGTGGAAAATATAGAAACGCCCTCCGAGCTGCGTCTTTGCGAGGACACGATAAGATTGTACAGCTCCTGCTAGAGAAAGGAGCCGAGATCAACGCTCAAGGTGGATACTTTGGGAGTGCTCTCCAAGCTGCGTCTTCCCAAGGACACGATAACATAGTGCAGCTGCTGCTGCTGGGGAAGGGAGCTCAGAGTGGGAGGATGGAGATATTTTCTGGGCTGCATCTTTGGTAAAGTAACACAAGATTTTGAAAATCCTCAGCACGTCTAGTTCCTCATTTGTCCACACCCTCTCTCCATCTCTCCTAAAAGACCAAAGGTCCCTTGACCTCGGAATTTGTAAATCAAGTAGCTGCTACCGTAATTAGGGGGCATTGGCTGAGTCTCTTCCTGTTATCGCCAAGTCGTAGTGTCTTATTGAACATATATACAGGAACTTTGATTTATGAATGACTGAACGAAGGGGGTCGTAAAATTCGAAAATTGTCTTACTATCACACTTTTGCTGGTGATTATTACATAGCTGTTTTAGGAATGACGCTATTTTGTAAAGTGCGTGTAATTTACAGTAAACGTATCGTCATATTCATGACTTCTATCTATTTTTATAACAATAGTGGGGTAAAGATCCCTTGGCAG